TCTGGACAAGATGCCTTCCTGCTAGTTCAGTCTGGGTGCTGAGGCTTGATCAAAATGCTGAGATAGAAATGCATCTTATGGTAATACCTGTTAACACTCCTGTCTAAAAACTTGTGGGTGATTTTAGATTTATCTCAGAGTTTTTAAGGGCTGATTAACATCAGCAATGCCCCTTTTCCCATGATATAATACATACGCTGACTCAGAAAGCAAGGCGCACTCCTATTTTCCCATGGAAAGACACACGTTTCTCCTTGATTAATCCTCTCCTAATTATGGGTAAAAGCAGTTATTTGCCTGAGAGTGACAGCTGTCTGCATCCTATTGAAGACACTCAAGTTTGACATTAGTTTTTTTCTCAAATGTTTTGGCATAGAAACAAAAGGTCACTCGTGCTATGAGGAAAATCACTTACCAAATCAGAATAAAGGGGTTGTTTTCTTGTAATGAAAATGGGATGTTTTATTTTGAATTCCCAAAATCTAAACACAGTTATTGGCTCTGCTGTCGATATCCTGTGTGACCCTGAACAAGTCATTTGATAAATTTCCTTGTTCTGTGAAACAGGGAAATTTTCCCTTGCTCTCCTGTATCTTCCTTCTTTATATAGTGTAAATTCTTTGAGGACAGGTTTTGTTTTTCACATGTGGCAAAAACATCCCTCTAAAAGTGTTGCTGACAAATAGACAGAAAGTTTAAATGAGAATTACAATGTTCGGTGCTTTGTTTCCTCTTTCTTCTGAACTAAATAAGTTGAGTTGCTGTTTGAAGATCTGTAACAAAAGTCTCAAAAAATGCATGCTGGATGCAGATCTTTCCTGTGTGGAATTTGACATGAAATGCTCTTACCTACACATCCCAGCCACAGCTTTAATTGGAAGAGATATTTCTATTCATTTTTAAGCAAAGAAGGCAACATTTTTTTATTCCTGTCTTCTGCAGATATTTATTTGGATTAATTTCTTTTAAATATCTCCAAATAATTTCCCCTGAAAAGGAATCTCTGAGGAATATTTTGTTTTCAGCCTTGGTACTTAAACTAAGAATGCTCCTCTTTTTTCTCTACTGAAACTTTAATTGATTTGGGTTTGCTTGGTGGTATTTTCTGAGATAGTCTTTCAATAAAAAACATTAAAAAATCTGAAGAAAAAAAGAAACATAAAAAACCTAAGATTTAATACCTTTAAAATTGAATACCTTGAAATTAAATATTTGTAAATACCTTTAAAAGATTTAATTTGAAAACATTATTATAATTTCTTAGATTTGTGGGCTGCTGAGCCAAAATCCACCTGACTGCATCTACATTTAGGAAACAACGTGTGAAATTATTCGAATTAACTAGTGAACTGTTCTTTTATTCCCTGAGGAGCCATTTGCGTCCAGAAAGGCCAGCCCAGGGACACGTTAGTCGCTGTCTGCTGGAGGGGACCAGCACACACGGGTGAGTTCCGCGTGCTCGTGGGAGCAGGTGTTCCCGGCCGGAGCGCGTCACACCACGGCCGCCTGCGCAGGCCTCCGAGACCCTTCACATTCTTTCTCCCCTCTTCCTCTTCCCCAGACGAGCATCACACCTTCCACTCATTGTATACTGGCAACCCTGACACTTCGTCAAGCCCTGCTGCACTTTCTGGCCTTTCAGCACTGGCCCGGATTCACACATTCCTGCCCAAACCCATGCTCTTCTTGACGGAGGAAGCTGCGGAGGCATCAGCACCATGGAGGTTCTGGGGCGCCGCAGATTAGAGGCTATTTTGGAGCCATGCAACCTTTGGGGCTGACCCTTTCGACAGCTGAATGGTTCCCTGGAGCAGCTGACACCAACGGCTCTCGTCTGCTTGGTGCTGTGGTAGAAAGACCCTCCGTTTGCTCTCCGAGCAGTTTTTACTCGTCCCATTCTCACCAGCTCATATAAATGCAGAGCATCCAGCCTACAATGCTATCTCCATCAGGGAACATTTTTGAGCTTCAAAAGGGCGGGCAAAACATGAATTAAGCAACTTCGTACAAGTGTTGAATGTCACAGGATCAATGCACAAGCTCAGGTTCCCATTAGCTACATTTTCCTGTGCAAATTCACTGAAGAAATAAACACAAACTTCCTAGGAAGGCTGGCCAAAAGCCTTTCTATAACTCTGTCTGCCTGATACAGATTTTACTCCTCATGAAATGGTCTCATCATTTATGCTATAAATTTGATAACATTTAAACAGTAATTATTATTAATGTTTCTTCTCCAGCTAACTTGGCTAATCTGTTCAGCAGAGATTTCTTGAGGGCAGTTTCATTTCCAGAGAAAGGCCAAACCTCTTCATTTTAGTGACATGAAATTAAGCCCTTCTGTTAAACATTTTAATTCAGCAAAAAATATGCATGTGTTAAATTCATCAGCTTATAACCTAATGAAACAGGAAGCTGCTTTTGTATCAGATACACTCTATGGGTACTGCTCATCTGGCTAATCTCCAGCAGGGTCTAAATTGAATAAGCTCAGAAACCAGCAAAAACTAGTTTATGTATAACAGCATTGCCCTTTCATATGCTATTGTTCATGGAGTTATCAAAACAAGAACGGAAATGCAGAGAGAGCTGGAATAGCTGAGCAGTAATTGAGTTCCTAATGAGCCACTGAAGCAAGATGACTTACTTGGGGTTTAGGAAATTTCTGTCAGATCACTGTGTGAGGTTTTCACTTATATATTTATGTCTACAGGATGTGAAATTACAGAATCATAGAAAATATGTCTGACTTAGTAGAGCTTAGAGAGGTCACTCGCTGTTCCAGCCTCAGCTCTGTCTATGTCACTGCCAGAGGAAAGTAATTCTGTTCAGTTTTGTCACCCAGCAAATGGAAGTTGTGCAGCAGATTAAGTTTTAATCTTTGTTACAGAAGAGTGAACCTGGAAAAACTCCTCTGACTTTAGAAACATTTATGTGATTAACACCAGAGTAACAAAGAGGAGAATTTGACTCAATGTATGATTAAGGGCCAGATGTTGTCCTCAAAATAGCCAGCATGCTCATATGGAGAGAAGAAATTCAACTAAAAACTCGGAGCAAACACTCTAAAACTTCCTTTTAAAATCACCACCTTTACCTAAATCTCATGGGAAACCCCAAATCCTCAGCAGAAAGTCATGCAGTACTCAACATCCCAGCATGTACAAGCTCTGCAAGGAATATCTACGTGCTGCTGCTTGTGCATTCAAGCTATTCTCAAGGTTAATCTCGTTTCCCTGTCAGGTTCTTAGTTCAGCAAACTAAGGTGATGAATCACAGAAAAAAAAAGAARATTGTGCTTTTCCTTTTAACTTAATGAACACTAGTGACCTGGATTCAGCTCCAAAATTTCCCCAAGATTTTCTGGAGAAATTTTCTGGAGAAAATCTTGGGGAAGTCTCGGGATGAGTCTTTGATAAGGCTGCAGAGGCTGCGGAGGATTTACAGATAAGCTTGCACAGATAACTGTGAAATCCACACTGACATCTAAATTAATCTCTCTCAGCTCAAATATCTACTTCCAGTGTAACTTAGCAATAGCAGAGACCTTGATAATAGATTTAGCTTTTATTGTCAAGCTCCCATATTTAGAAGAAGAGTTGGATGAAACAAGATAAGAAGGCCGTGCTGATGCCTGGCTCTGTGGCGTTAATGCTAAACATTTTTTTTTCACAGAGATGTATTAATATTTGTGAAAAAAAAAAAAAAACTATATGGAAAGGATGACCTTAAAACAGCCATGGTTGAGAATTCATTCAAAGGGAGTCGACCGGAGCTGTGGCTCTTTGTTCCAAAGATAGATTTGCTAGGTTGAGGAAGACAAAGTTACAGATCTTTAGTAACGAATGGCTAGGAGTGCTTAGCCATGATGGAGAAGCAGAGTCTGGAAAGCCCAGCAGCTCTGTGGAGGTTTCCTCTTTGGGTTAAGCTCTGCGGTGCTTGCACAGAGAAACTCAGTGGTGCTAATGAAAGGAGACTGGACTTTATCTTGAGTGCTGGACTACAGGGGCCAAGGAGCTGTTGTCAAAACCAAGGCAATTTGAAAAGTCTGTGAACAATGAGGTGGTTGTAAGAAGACAATGTTACACAAGAACTAGATACAAAATGATTTTGACTTTTTTTTTATGAGCATTTTGATGAAATTCTCATGTTCTGACAGAAAATTGCTATATAGTTTTAACATGTCTTTTTATTTTTTTATTTTTTATTTTTTTTCCCAGCAAAGCCCTGGCAAAGCACCACTTCAGAGCTGCAGTGTGGGAGACCCTCCTTACCCAAGTTTCTTGAGTTCACCCGCTCCTCTGCATTCAGCACCTTGTGACCCCAACATAGTGGCAGTAGCTGGAGCTCTTCTCTTGCACTAGATGCTGTCCAAGCACAGAAGGATGGACTTTGTGCCAGGAAGGTTTCTTTGTGAGTAAAACAAGCGTTTATCTGTAAAACATTTTTACAAAGGACAGATTTGTTGTATTAAAGAGGCCCTTCCTAGCCCTTGGTGCAGAATTCATAGGTTTGGATGGAGGCTGAGTAGCATTTACATTCGAGCCTCAAATCTGCATGGCAAAACATTGGTCATACACCAAACAAGTCAGCTACCAGGAGAGAGAAAGAGAGGGCAATTCCTCTCGAGGAGAAACTTGTCCTATCTCCTAGTGTCCTAGCGCAGAATGTTTACAAAATGCTCATTAAGGGAAAAGGGATTGTGAGATAGCAAGGAATCTGGTGAACAGCTTACACTGCCCGAGATAAGAGAGGCAAGGCGACCATAGAAGAGAGGGAACCATATCCAATTACCGAGACCTGGATTTGGGGAGGGGGAAGGGTGAAGAAAAAGGGAGGGGGCAAGGGGAGAGAGAGAGAAGGGCTGGATCACAAGTTTCAAGACAAGAGCTTCCAAACTTGTCATCTCTCTGTGACACAAGCCGCGTGCAACCCAGGGGATAAAACCGCCACTTAGCCCACACGAGAGCTAGAGCTTGTTGAGTGTGCTTGGAGCTAGAGGGAAGGCATGGATTCTGTAGTCCTCCAGCTGTGGGCTGGCCTCTCTCTCTTGGTTCACCTTGCCTCTTGCAGTCCCATCCTGAGCTTGGAGCAYTCTTCCTTGGAGGAGGACGTGCCTCTTTTTGATGAGGTCCTCTCTGAGCAGGATGGGGTTGATTTCAATACGCTGCTTCAGAACATGAAAAACGAGTTCCTGAAGACGTTGAACCTCTCTGACATCCCCCTGCACGAGACGGCCAAGGTGGACCCACCAGAGTACATGCTAGAGCTGTACAACAAGTTTGCCACCGATAGGACATCTATGCCATCTGCAAATATTATTAGGAGCTTCAAAAATGAAGGTAAGAAATGTATTTTTCTAGGAGAAGCAAATCCAAAAGGGTATCATTATAGTCAGCACAAAWTAATCTTTACCAGGCATGGAGCATGAACAGCACCAGGGGAAAAAGGGCCTTTTGGTGAAGAGGCCACTGGAAATAGGCAGCTAACACTGTACCACCTTTACGCAGATCCCACTTTTTGTGAGGTAGATCCTTTTAGATCCTTTTTTCCTCACTTTTGAGACTGTCAGGTGTGGAGGGAAGAAGATACTTCTTTTATGTCTGTGTTGTATAGTGCTAAGTATAATTTGGGTGTGTTTTTATTATCCCCATGATCATACAAATCTTTGGCAATTAGCTGTTTGATTTTCAGATGGCTTTAAATTTGAAATTAAGGGGATAAATGTCTTCACACACCTTTTAACGATGCAGTATATGACTCTCTATTAATATCCTTCCACTATTGATCCTCATGGGAATCGTAAAGTTGTGTTCCTTTGATGTCTGAACATAGTCCAGCAAAAATACAGAAAGGTATTTAGCTGAATTTGGATAATCTTCTGGTTTTGCTTCAAGGAGTATAATGCTACCTATTAGAAAAGAAAAAATGGGGGAGAAAASGACCAATTGTGAGCTTAGGTGGATCTCTATATGTTTCCGCTTTAATGTTTTCCCTCCATTTAACAAGGCAAAGGTTAAATTTCAGTGCTGACATTCAGAAGTTTTTCTGTCAGAACTTACTTGCACCAACATAGGCTATGTGTTAAAAAGGTTTTTCAGGTAGTCATTTCCAACCTCAAAATACTCTACCAATGCAAGCACTTTGATTCTTTTTAGCTATTCAGAGATACACGGAACTATTCAAATCACTCTGGATCTTCTCGTATCCCTCATAAGTCTAATTATGATGTATAACACTAATAACTACATTTTTCTCTGACAGTCACAAATAGTAGGTGACAAACTCTCAGGGAAAGTTGTGGGCAGATCAGTTCAATTTGGCAGGACAGCAGGGCTGGTCTCTGCTTTTCTGCCAGCCCTGGGCAGTCTCTACCCACAGTATGTTTCTGATTTGAGGACTGCTTTGCCATTTAAATCTTCTTTCTATATTCTTTTTCTGCACTGTGGTAATGTGACACTAAATTTATTGCAGCACTGCTAGCAAACCAGTTACACCTGCTGGTGAACTGTTCCTCATCTGAATAGCCTGGCTGATCATCACCATAACTGAAGAAATACACAGAAACAAGCATTGTTCTTTTCTCCTATTTCCACTCTTCAGGAGAAATAAATCGGATAGATAAATTTTGCCCTGTACAATATGTTAGAGAACAAAATGCAGTGATTTACTGAAGTGAATCTGAACGGATTTCAGTGGCAAGACCGAAATGCTTCCAGGCTTGCAGCACTGAAAATGGCGCAGACCGACCTGCGAGCGGTAACACGTGCCACAATTCACAATTCTTTGCCGTTMCATAAACACGAGGGAGATATTCCATATGTTTTTCATGGCTGCAGATGTTCTGTACTGGCTAGGGTAAACTTGGTGCAATTTTCTGCCATTTCTGTGTTTTTCTCACTTCTAATCCAAAACAGCAGCTGCAAAGTGAGACTTCTTGTTAAACACATCAGCTTCATAAACCCATGTAGTTATAGGGACTGTTGCACTTAATGATTTTGATCTGTCTTGAAAGTCCATGAATGTAGGAACCATTCCTTTCATAAACAAGGATGGTCTTTTTAAAGAAGAAAGTGAGTTACTCTCAATTTCCAGGGCACCAGGAACAGATCATACCATGAAGATTTTTTCCGCTGTTTCTTGAAAATTGGCAGTGACTGCTTTTTCATTATTATTCATTAAATCCCTTATTAGCTTTGTTATTACTGTAATGAGATTATAGATATACAATGTGCTGCCCAGTCGAGAGTAGCCAGCCTCTGTTGCATTATTATTATTATTATCCACCTTGTCGTCAGTAATGACTGCAGCAAACTGCAGGTTAGGAAATTGCAAAGGTTTCTTGCATTTGAGAGGTTTTGGCTGGAGCTCCCCTGATCTTGAGCCTGCAGTTCACCCCGACCCTGGAGCATGTTCAGCTCCCACTCTCATCAGTTGAGGGGAAGGGAGAGGCAACCAGAGCTGCCGTTTGGGTTTTTTGTTATGGACAGATGGAGGTGCAAATGGGAACAGAAAACCAGGTGCCCCAAACCAAGCTTCATGTCAGTAGAACAGCTCCTGTGCTTGCTTAAGTGCACTGGTGGAGCAGGGCCAGCACTTGCAGCGTTATCAGTGTCATTTTGCTGCAAACACATCAAAATTGGAGAAGTCAGAGATGAAGACAGTAGCAGATCCCAAGCCGCTTGTCCCCACGGGCCTCGCAGGAACGTCACCCAAGGTCTGTGTGTCCTGTGCAGTCTGAGCCACGAGTGAGAGCGCAGCAACCCGGGCGTGGAGGCAGTCACCAGCACTAGGATGCCTGTATGGCATTAAGATATGCATATTGCCCCTGTGTGAGCAAACARCGCAGATACGACAGACAGACTGACCAACGAGCAGCTATTGGGGGCTTCTTATAGGTTTTATTAACTAAAGCTGCCAAAAACGTCCGTCTGAATGCAGGTCTTTGGCTTAGTTCACAAACCTGTTAAGTACATGGCAGGATTTCTGTTGAGTGGCAGCTTTTAGATTGGGGAATCACAGCCTGCTCCTCCTATGTTTGCAAGCAAATTTTCCTCTCTTAGAATCTGACCGTTTCAGTTGCTGATGGCGTTTGAGCAGAAGGAAACACTTGCTAGTCAGAAATGCTAACCCAAGTACTGCCTGCAGTGTCTGCGTGCACAGGTTATGTGTCACCTGCCTGTCTCTCATGTTCACTCTAGGGACGCATGGTTCTTCTTTTCCTCACCTGCAATAACATTTTCTCCTATTTGTTAAACAGTTGCTGTGCAGTAATGTAGAATTGATTTCATTGCTGTATTTGGCAAAGCATTTTTAACACACAATCCTACCAGGTGTCAAGGAAGGCCTAGAAAGCCATGCTGATTGATAGAAATTATAAAACCAGGTTCGCTGACTTTGTCATGGCTGAGAGTTCCATCCTTAGACATCTGTAATTAAACAAGGCTTTTATTGATCATCCAAGTACCATTTTGGGAAACAGAACAAAACCATTTTCCTGGATTGTTCCACCGAAACCAAAGGAATGCGAAACATGTCAGATGTGCTGGATATACTGACCTGCTAAAATAACTGATCTTTGTCATTTCCAGACTTGGCTTCCCACCCTATTGGTGTTGTAGGAACTCGGAAATACCCCCTTCTATTCAATGTATCCATCCCTCACCATGAAGAAATCACCATGGCGGAGCTGAGGCTCTACACCCTGGTGGAGCGGGACCGAATGCTCTACGATGGCCTTGACCGGAAGGTCACCATCTTTGAAGTGCTGGAGAGTGACCACATGGGGGTAGGAGAAGAGCGAAAGATGGTGGCACTCGCATCTAGGCAGATTTATGGCAAAAACAGCGAGTGGGAAACATTCGAGGTGACCGAAGCCATCAGGCGCTGGCGAAGGGCAGGCCTGACCACGCACCGGCTGGAAGTTCATATAGAGAGCAGGGAAGGGGAGGAGCAGAATGGAGAGGGGAAGCTCGATATCGACATCAACTCTGAGGCCAAGCATGTGCCCCTGCTGATTGTGTTCTCCGATGACCAAAGCAATGACAAGAAAGAGGAGAAGCAAGAACTGAATGAAATGATAAACCATGAGCAACTCCTGGACTTGGAGAACCTGGAAGTCGGCAACTTCCACGACCGGCCTGGCGAGGAGGCGCTGCTCCAAATGCGCTCCAACATCATCTACGACTCTACCGCCCGCATCCGGAGGAACGCGAAAGGCAACTACTGCAAAAAGACTCCGCTCTACATAGATTTCAAGGAGATCGGCTGGGATTCCTGGATCATTGCGCCAGCGGGATACGAAGCCTATGAGTGCCATGGAGTGTGCGCCTACCCCTTAACGGAGCACGTCACGCCAACGAAACATGCCATTGTGCAGACTTTGGTTCACCTGAAGAACCCCCAGAAAGCCTCCAAGGCCTGCTGCGTGCCCACCAAGCTCGACCCCATCTCTATTCTCTACCTAGATGCAGGGGTTGTCACCTACAAGTTCAAATACGAGGGCATGGTGGTATCGGAATGCGGCTGCAGATAGTAGGAACACATGCACGGGGGAGTGCACAGGGGAAGTATTTAATGATTCAGTCTGTAAATTTGTACATTTTGGATTTGCTATTTAATAAGGTTATTTAATGAGGCATGTACAGACAATTGTATGTTTCCTACCACGGGGAATGGGCAAGACATACGACTGTAGGGAATGTATATTTTGTTCCATTGCTTCTTGCTCTTCTTTCCTATCCAAATTAAGACTCAGCCTCTCTTCATACCAGGGCACAGACCAGATCACTGGGTTGTTTGGGGGGGCTCTTCCTGTCCCAAAGGGGCAGATGCAAGTTCCTAAAAACATTATCCTTCCTTAGATCTTTCTGAGCCTTGGCTAAAGGCGAAAGACATCCTGTCCTTTCCCTTCCGATCTTGCGATGGAGCGGTGCCAGGCTCGGCAGTGGCAATGGCAGGAAATGCCCCCCACGCCTTTAGCGCAGAAGCTCCCTTGTCCCGCAGACCCTAGAGCTCTGGGTGGTCTAAATCAGTGCATCAGCTCCTCAGTCCTTGAGGCTCTGCCAGGTCGCAGCAGCTCAAAAACTTGTTCCCCCGGCCAGGCCGCTAAGTTACGTACAACCCATCTGTATAACCAGCAAAGCAGGATTATGTAGAGCTAGAYAGAAAAGGAGTCCCCTTCGTGCCAGCCAGAGAGGACCTTTCCCTTACGGATGTGCTCACGGTGTCAATTCATAAAGGTATTGCCCCCCACTTAAACTATATATGCTGGAGTCACATGCCATGTTTCCGCCACTCTTCTGCAACAAATCCTAGTGATAAGAAGGTGTCGGAGCTGAGAAACAATAGACCCGTCACTTTATTTATACTAAGCTGCAAATTTGTCAGATTCTTGGGAAAGTGTAAGTGACGTTGACTCTTTTAGCCTTTAGCAGAGCCTACTGTGCTGTCCATGCATCTGTTCTACACTTTTAAGGGAAAGTTATCTTCACTGGAAGTGCTTAAGGGTCTTTGAAGGAATCCCCTAGCACTTCATGAGAATGAACACAAAAGACTTTATCAAGCACCAACTAAAACCAATTTCACTTGTTTTTTTTTTCACACGTATACTTCTRTGCTTCCCATAATTTATTGATCTATTTATTGACTGCCTGCCTTTGTAATATAATGTAGAATACAGAACGTTTTATTTTTGTGCTTGTGCTTGTGCACTTGGATAAAACCTTGTACCGATCCTATTTCACACAGAATCTCCCTCTTGAGTTGTGTTGCACAGAGATTGGCTTGATAATTTTTTTTCCATGCTAGATGTTTGTAAATACCATATACCACCATTCTCTCTCTTGCTTGCAACCTGTTCATTGCAGTAATTTAAACAGCATTCTGAACACACATAGTCGTATCCAATATTTAACCACTCTTGCAGGGCTATCACTTCACTAAGTGGCCAGTTGTGTAGTTTATTGTAGAGTTATGCTGCAATCTTAGGCTGCGATTAATGGCAAGTCAAAGGAATTCATAAGAGGGGTGATAGTTGCTCTGCTGACAGGAGCTGCCATAGCCAGCGGCTAAAGTGTCACCACGCAGAGCCTTCCAAGCCCCCCCTGCTCCTAATGCAGCTGTTTGCCAGGACAAACCGTTCACCTTGTTAGGATGATAATCCAGCGCCAGGCAGATAATCCAGCGGGCGCTGCTACCGGCTCCTCGGCGCGGCTGTTCCCGTCGCGCTGCTGTGGTTCGGGCACCACTCTCTGTTATTTGCTCTATTATGAAACTCTGCAAGTGGCACCGGGATGCAGCTTTGGCACTGGGGGAAGCCACACAGGTGAATTTTTACAAGACCAGTAAAAATTGCTGTAAAAGCAATTCAGAATTAGGAACAAGGTGGTGTTTGGATATTAGCAAGTTGTTTTATGAGACACGGACTGTCCTGCCAAGCAAGAGAATCTCAGGTAGGATTTGTGAGGAAACCCACAAAACAGAAGATGTACCCGAGTGGGCTATTTTGGGAGAAACTTAAGCGTTTTATGACTCCCACAGCCGCAACTGTTCACAATCGGAGATCAGAACAGGGTTAAGTAGCAAATGAAGGCTCTTTTGGCAAACCCAGAAGTACTGTGTTTTAAACCTGTGGCTACTCCTGTCTGTTTGGCTGTGGTCCTCACAAATGCTGTAGTGAGCGGGTGGCCAGAGCCAGTGCTACAAAGGCACCAGTGTCACTAATGTCAGCAGCAGGTCCCCAAAACCTGTCCCAGCGATTATTTTTACTTCGTACCCGCTCGCTTCCCCCGTCCTTCCGTCTACCCGCTCACCCATCCACACCACACATCTATATTAAAACTTTGGCTTCTTCTGTTTCTTAAGGAATTTATTTTTCTCATTAAAGACTCGTGTGCATTGATTTTCCTTTCATTTCTGACCTCCTTTATGTCAGCATGCTGGCAGATTCCTGCCTTAGATTTCAATAGCAAAAATCTGGTTTGAAAGGTTCCGTTTGGTCTGGAAACACCTCTCTGCAGGGGCCTTCCCAAAGCTGCTGCACACAGATAACCAGAGCAGCAACCCTTCCTCACAGAAGGCATCAACACGGAGTTTTGCCTTCCTCTGTTTAGCATTCAATGCATGGGAGCAACCATAAGCAGCTGTGAGGCTCCTTTTGGGCTCCATGCTCTAAAAAATGCCAGGAGGCCCAAATAGACAGGACAGGCAAAGGGTGGGAGCCAGAAAAATGCATTAGGGAGAGGAAGAATGTGGATAACGTATCAGCGAGGGAGCTGAGGATGGAGTTTTGCTCCTGGGCCTCCAGAGTAGTGTGAGCTTCAGGGCATGGTGCTGGTCCTGTGGGCACCTGTCTCCGGCGCAAACGCGGCGCCCACCCCGGCTTCCCCAGCCCGGCTCATCGCTGGGTGCCCAGCTGGGGCCAGAAGGTGCTCAAGGAGCAGGTTTGCCCTGCAAGCTTCCTTGCACACTGCCCGTCTGGGTGCAGCCCCACAGCCCAGGCTGGGTCGCTGCCCGTGGAGGATGGAGCTTCCCGGCAGCTCCTGCATTAGAGCTCGGCCCATCGGGACCCCTAGGGCGGTTTGAGGAGCCCCAAGGAGGAGGCAGTGGCTGGCGGCTGCCCGGCACAGAGCAAGAAGCTCCACAAAGGATTTCTGTGCAAAACCTGGAGCCAAACCCTAGCTGAATCCATCACTCACGGAAAAGAAGAGAAGAAGAGAAAAAAAGAGATTTCCTGGCATGTGAACAGCTGCTTCCAGCATTTGAAAAACTACAGTGCAGTGCTAATTTAAACTTCCTTATAACCCAGTTCAACATTTGACGAGCAAACGCTGCTAATAGGCTGGGAACCGTGGGGCTGGTGCTTTGCTTGCTATATTGGGAAGCGAAGCCAGAGCAAAACTAGCTTGAGATAGAGCTTTTGTTTACATTGCTGACCAATCTGTCTTCATTAATGCACTATTTACAGGAAAAGTTAAAAAATTAGAGTCTGCTCCTTCTTCAATTGCACCAGTGAAAAATAGCGGCGCGATGGTTCGTTTGCCCCAACTAAAAGTTGAAAGTCTTATCAAAAGCCCCTGACAAGAGAGGTTTATTAAGTGGAGGATATTCCCGTGGAGCAGGAGCGCTGGGCCCAGGCGTCTGGGTGCGTTTCTAGCAGAAGCGATGTCAGGAGCAGCAGGAGGTTGGGGAGGTGCTGGGTGCACCCACGCGGGAAGCAGAAACCAGCGGCGTCCATTGGCACTTGGTTTATTACCCTGCCTTGAAGTTGAGGAGAAAAACAGTGTTTGGGGTTTTCTTTTCTTTAGCAACGAGGTACTGAGAGGGGAAGCATCTATGCAAGGAGAGCTGGCGGGGACGATCCCCTTCTCTTATGTTCAAGTCAAGGGGCCCTGCACACACTGCCTTGTCTAGCATCAGATGCCTGAATGAGGACAAACAGCTGCCAGGCCCCAACTCCTTCAGCTAAAATGAGGCAGGTTTGCAAAAAGCTGCTCCCGAGCCAGCATGGCTGGCAGGGAAAAGGTCCGGGAATGCATTTTTGCCCATGGACACTCCCGAGCAAAGAGGATGTTGTCCTCCTCCTTTCAAGGAGTCGCTTCGAACGCCGGGGAAAGCAGGATTTAATGGAGCAATTAGCTGTGGAAGTTTCTGCCTCCAAGGCCACGTCAGCACGCAGCTCCGCTGGCAGAAGGCATCAGGATATTGCTGCGTTAGGGCAATAAAGGGAATTGCTTTTTCAAGCGGCCAGCACCAAAAAATATAGATCAGTCCTGCTAATGCGTGTGCTCCAAGGCAGCCCACGGGCCATAAATCACCGCCAGCTCGGGCCAAACGAGCGCACGGTGCAAAGGCCAAGTTCCTTTGCTAGTTTTAAGCTGCTGGATGGACGCCCAAAGCGATTCCATTCGGAACGCAAATTGATCTACCTCCTGTTCAGCATTGCAAGGGCTCGGCACRACTTTTGGTTGTATTTGCTTTTAAGGAAACAAAGGAAATGCAGAGGATAAAAGCAATCAGCATGGCTACAATATAGGGAATGATAGGAGAGGAATGGATTTCCGTGCCACAGGTCAATGCTTCTGGAAGGGACGCTTTTCTTTTTCTTTCCATGGCCTCAAGGATGGTATATTCTGCAGTGGCCCAAGACATGGCCAGGGAAGGCAGCACGATAGAGTTTAAATAAGCAAGGCCCCTGTTCCCATGCACTTCAGGAGAGTTGGCAGCAGCTGTCAGGATGAGGCAGATCCTGTGGGATGAGCAGCTCCGTGCCCCTGGGAGCATCCCAAGCAATGTCCCCCCCTCGGCGCGGCTGAGCCTGTGCAGGCTGCCGGCCTCGCACTCTGTTGAAAAGAGACGTGTCGAGTTAAGTGAGAGGTTTAAAGACAGGGTGGTCTCTGCAATGCAGCATGGTAGCGCGCTAGCAACAGCGCCTAAACAACAGCCCCGTCTTCCATGGCTCGTGGGTTTATGTTGGCTTTGCTGTGGCAACTCCTTATCTATGCGGAGATTAGGGCATTTTGGATCGGTTGTTGTGAGATTCGGTGGAATTCGTTTCCTGAGCTGTCACCGCCGGCTAATGGGGCAGTCAAAATACAAAGCTCTGGGAGAGGGGCAAGTGAAGGCAGCTCCTGCACTAGTGAACGTGCCCTTTTGTGCTGGGCCCTGCAGCAAATCTGCACTGGGAAGTCCAAACCCAAAGCCCAGCATTGGTTAAAACAATAGTAGGGATCCAACAGAACTTGAACCTTGCCTGGAAATCTTAGCTGTAATAATACAGTTACAGTTCTGCTGTGTGGCTGGATCATCCACGGACCTTTTCAGGGATGAACATCTGCAAGATGCTCTTCCTCATTTAATTTATACCCTTCTCTGTCATCTCTGAGGGAGACCTCTCTGAATTTAAGGCACTTAAGGGACCAAGGGGCTTCTAACTTGCCCTTCTTGTCTCCGTGCCTGCCCCCGGCTGCTCTTCCATCGGCCACCAGCCGATTCTGCAGCATTCAGACTGACTTCTTCGCCACTGACCTGCTGCTAGCAGCGCTTCCAGGCTGAAAAAATCAGTGGCCTGGCATCCAAGAAAAGGGTTATCTGGCTAACCCGGCTACCTGGTCATTATCCCAAATATCTATAACTTGGTGCCCAGGACTCAGTACCTTTCTAGGTCCATTTTATGTGTGTTTTGCAAGCACTTTCAAAAGGCCTCATTAGTTTCTTAACGGGTTTCGGAGGTGAAATCTGTGGCTTGGAGGCTTGGATTCTTTGGGGTTGGGGTGGGAGAGCAGGGTGCATTGCCCCGGACACCTCAAAAATGGTAGAGCGACCCCACTAGGGTTTTATTTTTAAACCCATCCTGCTGCCAGGACGCATGATACAAAGCTGTGAGGCCTTGGGCTTGAGTGAGCAGCAACAGTTCGGGGTGGGTGACAGCAATTTAATCCCCTTTTCCATAACTCCTGGTGCCATCCCTGAGCCTGCGCCAGTCTCCCAATTGCTGCAACGGGAATGATCCAGCGCGGCCGAGTGCGGGAGTGGCCGGGCCTGGCTCCCGAGTGCCCGCCGGGGTGTTGCTTACCTCAGTGATAACAGCCCAAGCAACTGTAGGGAACAACGCAAATAAACACACTAGGACCCCAGGCTTGCTTGCATCAACAGGAGCCTGGAGCAAACCCCGCCAAGCAACGGGGCTAAGTCCAAAGGGTGCTTTATCCGTGGATGCCACATGTGGGGTCGCTCAGTGGGGACAGGCCGAGCAGATCGTGGTGGGGTGCTCTGTGTTTCCAGGAACTGGGCATTTCAAAGCATGGACAGGGCTGTGCAAGGCAGCAGTAACACAAACACACGTAGACAGAGTCAATGGCAGATGCTGAAATCCATCCCAGAGCTCCGGGAGAGGATGTGTGGGGCAAAGGGGTCACCCAAGGGATGGAAACCTGAGGGAAGGGGTAAATGGGATGTCTCCTGCTCTCCGAGTCCCCTGCGCCTGGCAGAGTGAGTCTGTGGATTCTCTAATGTCTAATAAAGGTTGAGCCTTCATCAGAGCCTTTCAGATGCAGCATCTCTCTGTGCGGCCCCCATGGCTTAAGATTAGGGAATTGGCACCCAATGTTCTATCATTCAGGCTGCTGCCTGCTTGTCATAATTAGCAAAAATCACTTTGCATTTTCCAGGAACGAGCTGCCAGACAGTTGCATGCAGCAGGAAGCTCTAACYACGTTACACCCGAGCTCCCACGTCCTTGCCAAGTGCTTCAGTTTACAGGAATTACGTGGAGAGGAAACACTTGCAAAGGTAAATTAGGAGGAGGGTAACCTCTGGCCAGGCATACTGGTGAGTGGTTATTTGTACAAATAGCCAAAATTTGGCAGTCTTTTCTTGCCAAAGACATCCTGTTTTGGGGTAACCTTTCAACTCCTGTGTAAGGGAAGGAGGAACTGGGTTATTCAGTCATTCTGGGGAAGAACAACGTGTTCTTGCTGGTTTTCTCTCATTTGCATAAACTATCCTCAATAGCGGCTGGCCGCTTTTCCTGCACGTCCACCTCGCCTCCAACAACAACTTGCTATTTAATGCAATAGCCAAGCTAAAAAAAGAAAATCACTGCCATGCCAAAAATGTGGCTTTGATAAAATATGAGGGGAAAAGTCAGCATAAGTGTGACTGGCTTGGGATCCAACGAGGGTAACGTGGGAAGGATAATTTTGTTTTCTTGACTCTCACGCCTACTGATTCCTGGATACAGCAAAGTGAATATCAAAGAGTGACAAAACAGATTTGTTCTAATGCAAGGCATGCTAAGCAGTAAGAGCAGGACTGGAATTATAGCCTAGAAAATACCATCTTTTCACTGCATTATGCATAGTTTGGTGGGTCTAGATGCAGGAATTTCCACACCATCTGACCCCCTTGGAAAGTCTATCTTGTAAATATGAGTACTGTAAACACTTCACATTTTAATGGGCAGAATATCTTCAAAGCAGCTACTGTGCCACTGCAAAGCAGACATGGTTTGAGAGGCTCTTGCAGCCTATCTGCAAAGGAAGTGGAGGAATGTGCAGTTTATACTAAAGCAAAGTGCACTTGCCCCGGTCTCAGCAACTTCTGAGCCTCAGCCGAGGCTCCTCACATCATTATGAGCTCCTTCATCTGTAATGCAGGAGCCATTACTCCCACTCTGCAGGCRTTATTTGCCTCTTCACACTTCTGATATTAACAGGGAGGAGTGTGTGGCCTTTCCAGCCCAGCTGGTCTCGTTCCTGTGACGTCCAGGTCTCCCGAACGTCCTCCCGCTCGCCGTGAAGGACAGGCAGCTTCCTAACAAGCTCTCTGGAAAGCTAAAATGTTAAATAAAACAACCGCTCTGACAGTTCTCTCGAAGTTACGGCCTTTTGCAGGGTCTGAAGACTCAGTTGCAGCCTGAGGAGCTGTGCAGTCCTTGGGGGTCCTAGGACAGGTATCTGCAATCACAGTTTATAGGTGGGATGAGCTGCTTATGGGCCAGATTCTTAACTGTGGCACAACCTTGACAGCTCTTTCCTTTGCCAGTATTTACTCCGTATCTGCGCAAAATGGATTCAAAATGCCAAAATAAGTCTGACATGGGACTAAGGATGCCAGCGCTGAGGAGTCCTGGCTCCGTTTTAAAGCTAGCCTAGTCCCCAGCAGCAAATCTTAAGCCAGCAAGTGCTATCTAGACAATACCAACTTTTATTCCATATTCACATTTTCCCAGTTCAATCTCCCCACTTTTCACGTATTTTCCTTTTTTGTCATTTTTCTTCTTGGAGCCTTTTTCTTCTGCAGTGTCTGCCAAAAGGGTCTGCAGCCTGTTTGGAGCTGAGCTTTTGCATTGCCAAAGCCACGTCCTCAGCGAGAGTAATCCAGTGTCACTGCATTAATGCCACCGTGCTGGGCCAGAGCCATGGGGCTGTGTGCCGGGGCACCAGCGAAGAGAAGCTCCCTGGCAGGCGGTGGAAGAACAAGCAGCTGAAGCGACGTGTTTACAAACCACCAACATGGTAACACGAGGCCTTTGACTCCGGTTTGTCCTTAGGCCTGATGGGCAGAGTCCCAGCATCGCAGCTGGGGTGCAAATCCCCAGGTATCCACTGAGTTGAGCAAGGGAATCCTGACCTCCACCGACGAAATGATGAAAAACAAAAGGAGAGGCATAAAAAAGTTCAGTGAAAACCGTCTCCCAGGGAAACTGGCAGATCCCGCATTTTCTGTAACAAGTAAAGCTCCTAAAGGATTAGCTTCAGATGAACAGCTCCCTGTATAAATGCTCAGAAGCAGCGCTCGGAGGCTTCAGCAGCAGCTGTGCCAGACATATATAACACAGGGCTATAAGAAACAGTGATCAAAAGCAGCTGAACAGTGATTCATCTAAACAGGTTCTTAGGGTTTATCAGGCTGCTCAGATCATTGCTACCTAGAGCCGTAGTATCGGTGGGTCTGGCACAACATGTCCTAGCAAGTGCCATTGCATTAGCCCTCTTGGTGGATCAGGAAGCCTGCCTGGTCCTCTCTTGCTCTTTAAGAGCCATGACAAAGCCTGTGTGTTAATGCAAAAATCTCGAGCTCATTGCAGAGCATGTCTTGCAGCACATCACCCAGGCACAGTGGGTGTCACCTTGGCCTGGGCATTTTCTGACTCCCCATCTGCAGGATTCAGGCTCAGAGCACTAGGATATCTTCATCAAGGAGACCGCCAAATGGCAGGAAGGCCACTTGCTCATTTATTTCTGTTAAGTATAATATATATTTAACCTGAACTCTTCCTACAAGACATTTTGGTTGAGCAGCAGGAAGTGTTGGCCTGTTCTATAGGTAACTTCAGCAGCCAGAGGAGGGTTTAAAAACTGAAATAAAGCTAAAGAACAGTTTTGAAATTTCCTGTTTCATAGTGTAAACCAACCTCTAACTTCCAGGCTCCTTCCTCCAAACCAGCCCGCAGGCTGTAACAGGGCACCTGCCTGTACGAGTCCCTGGCTCAGATCCCGCTGGACAATTCCTCTGGATACTAAACCATGCAGCTGTGTTTTATGTCCRCACACATGCAGGTGTCTCCTCCTAGTTGTTTTTGGCATCGGCTTTGCTCCTGGATTGGGTTAAATTCTTTATCTCCTCTTCAAGCCTTTTGTTTTTCCTCTCCATGTCTTCCTGCAAGAGCTCCATGTCCCTCAGCTTTTGCTCCAGTTCCTCCGATTTCTTCTTCTCTCTGTCAACCTCATGGTGCAGTCTCACCACTTTGGCCCAGACTTCATAGTTTTCCTTCTCAAGGCTGCAAAGAGAAATGAAAAGGAGCATGGAAAGTTTGAATTGGAAGAGTGCTGGGAAGGCATCCCCTGGCTTGGAGGTCAGTCCTCCATGTCATTCAGCAGTTAAATAATTCAGATCTTATCATCTCCTCTGCCCTGGGAGATGCCTAGCAGCACAGGGGTGTCTGCTGCAGAAGAGTGCAGAAGTGTTTGAACCCACATTGTCCCCCAGCCCTCAGTGACCATGTCATATAATGCAATAAGTTCAGTGCATGTAATGAATAGCACCTGAACGATACCTGAAGCTGAGTAACACTAACAGCTACAAACATACAATGCTGTAATAAGGGTAATAAACTATTGAATTCTGGTTAGCATAATGATATAATATTGTAGTAATTGCAATAATTACGAGTGTATAATTAATAATAATCATGACCATATAAATTATTGCAGAATTTATATGCTATAATATAATAAAATTAGAAACTACACCATTAGTCTATACGACAGGAGCATTGAATTCTAGACAGTACACTGTAATACTATAATGTAACCTTAGCCATTACTGTAATAGACTATATATCATTACAGGTGAATAATTTGGTGAAGTGCTAGTATTGTAATAGTATGGGCTGAAGACTTCACGCCCTCCAGAAAGCAGCATTCAGCAGTGCGTTACCTTTCGATTTGCTCTTCGTAGGTATTTTTCTGTGCCTCCATTTCTTTCTCCAGCTTCAGGATCATGCTGTGCAGTTGTTCCTTGCTCTCCTGGCCAGAATCCCGAGCCTCGGCTGAGCTGCTGACAGGGCTGCCTGTTTCCTTGGGTGGATGGCTGAAGCTGAGGCTCGGTAGGAATTGCTGCTCGGAGCTGCCGCTCGCCATGTCGGGGCTGGAGCAGCTGCCTTCCCCCCTTCCCGCCTGCGAGGTAGCTGCCTTATCGCAAGTTGTAGCCCGGTGGAGGTCAAGCAGCTTAAAAAGATCATGAGACAATGTTCTTTTATGTCCATCAGGGAGCCCAGAAGGCACGCTGGTACCTGGGGAGGATTTCCAGAAGTCACTGGCAAATACATCGCCTTTGTCATTCCTGCCTTTCTCCCCTGGAGAAGCAGCTGTCAGGAAGGATTTCCTGTTAGGTAAGGTCTGAGTTCTTTTCCTAGACTGCATTTTCTGCATTCCCAGAGTATCTTTGGATAATTTCACATCATTATCTTCTCCAGGCACACTTGAATTCGCAGCTGGTCCAGCAGCACTGCTGGCATTCAGGTCGTCTCTCTGAAAAACAGACCTATGAGTTTAGACTGGCTCACCCTCTTGCACATGCAGACATAGGGTTCCGCAACTACAGAAACAGTTTATGTACAAAGGTCACATTTTGACATGCTAGCTAGAATGGCCAAGAGTTTCTCATAAAAATGATTTCAATCTGAAGTGTATTTCCTATTAAAAAGAGCTTTCTGTAGAGACTCTGTAGAGACTCCTTCTGTAGAGACTCTGAGAAAAGCCCTCAGTATTTTCACTTTACCAGCATGAAGTGAAAGTATTTAATCCATTCTGCCTTTTAGCTAAAAAAGCTTTAGGATCCCTGATTTTTTTTCCCCCCAAAGAGTAAATTTTCCACAGGAATGAACTCATTTTCCTGATGTCGGTATTCCAGGGGTGGCAGTTACAAATCTTTAGTCTATTAATAGCAAGCGCTCTTAATGGCTTGCTGACCTGTTAGATCTCGTAATAAATAACCATTTCTCGTGGTTATTTCTCTGCTACTGGCCATTTCTCCAAGGATCTGGTCTTACCTTAGACCAGATTTGTCTTACCTTTAGACTAGTTTGCCTTAGAACCAGGCTGTCCGCCCTGGACCCTGCAGGGTCCTCAGCAGCGTCCCAGCCCACGGAGCTGCGCGTCACAGGGGCTTTCTTGAAGTCGTCATTTCTTTCAGCGGGTGAGGRGAGTGGCGCATCTTCGGATGCCGGGAAGAGGTCTGCATGGTCACTTATCATCACAGTCATCACTTTCTGGATCTGAGGGGTGCCTGGAACATGCAGGATTTTACATTTTCTGCTTGGTCTTTCTGGTGTCTGAGAGGCAGAAGCAGACAGAAACGCAGGGGAAGGCAAGGAGCACAAGCACAAGACTATATCAAGAGGGAGATTTTTGTATCACACCAGAAGAAGGAAGCTGTGACTCTGCTCAGCTGAACCAAACCGCAGCTGTGCCCCCTTGGCTCAGCAGGCAAACTGTGAGCATCCCTTATACCACTGAACATCATCCGCCAAAGAGTTTGGCACGTCAGGAAGGAATTTATGTCATCTTTCTAAACCAGGCACCTGGCCTCACGCACTTGCCTTCCAGGCATGTGGGGAGTATTTTATTAAAAACAGAGCAGAGATCAGTGGTTGTGTGAAAATCCCTCTCTGGGGAGAATGTGGATGTAATTCGTGAAGGACCATTTGTGCGCAAGTGACCTTCAGCATGAGGGATCTCATGCTTTAACTCCATGAAGCAGGGAAACCTTTGCCCTTAAAATGTTTCTTCCCTCAGTTCAGATACATCTGTCCCTTGCCCAAGGAATTACATTGTTTGACTCATTAAAGCAGTTATTTCTTTGAGTTTCTCTTGTTTCTTAAAGAAGAATTTCACATTTCCCTGCTTTGGGTGAAAGAAAGGTCACTTCACCATCTTCCTGAATATTTTGTAGTTGCCAAGGGAGGGAATGCACAGTTCAGCTCTGAATGCATTTTTACCACAGACACATTTATAGCCCAGTTGGTGACCAGGCTTTACGTTGCCTTCCTCTATTACTGCCCTTGGATCTGTCCCAGACAACTTTGCATTTTAAGATTGGATGCAGCTGAGTATTTCAGTGCACTGTGTTCTCCTAGGCTAAGCATTCATTTTACCTCTCATAATAACAGCAGGGTCCCCTATCTTTGGCCTGATGAGATTCACTCCAATCACTGTCGCCAGATTGTCCACGCTCATCTTGTTGATGCTACAGTTCAACTGTATTTCATGGAGAAACCTGCAGGAATCCAAGGGCAAAAATTCCAAGTCARAGAAGAAAAAAGAGTGGAAAAAAAATCACATGTCACCTAGGGCCAAGTGGGATAAAACTCTACAGTTTCACTGTAAAAGACTTAGTTTAAATTCTGTGCTTCATGTTAGTTCTTACGGCCCTGCAAGTGAGTTTGGGCACTTTGGAGCAGACATTTATGCTCTGACCTCCTTACTGTGCTCCCTCACTCCCATGGGGTGAGACTCTCCCTTTACAACRGCTGCCAAACACAAGCTTGCAAGAGTCCTCTCTGGAACCAACTTCAGCCTTTGGGGTGATGGTTTTGTTACGAGCAGGAAATGGGAGCTGTTTGCACCATACGCGAAGAACTGACCTGCAGATGTAGCTGAGGAGGTTGTAATTTTCTCGAGGAAGGAGGGACAGCTGCTTCAGCAGTGCKCGATGACCCTAAATGCAAGTTAAGAAATAGCTCTGTGAGGTCTCACATATAAATTCACAATATGAATTGCAAACTGTCTCCTGTTTGTTCCAGCCCATGCCAGTATGGTCTCTCCTCGCCTTGGAGATGAAATCCAGATGTTTCATTGGCAGAGCCAGCATGGACCTGGACGAGGTTTTGGACACATCAATCCAGCACAGCACAGGCTGAGCCCTTTCAAAAGAGCTGATTGTGCCTAGTCTCAGAGGTAACATATCTGTAACACATATTTGTGTTTGTAGATGGATCTGTACATGCAAATGTATTTGCAAATGTTTCTTGAATACAAATGTTTATGTCATTTCTAATCCAAAGCATCCTGAAGTGAAACCATCTGCAAGCAAACACCTGCCCTTGAAATACAGGTGCTTGTAGGGCTCAATGTGTTGGTTTGTAGCACAAACTCTGCTAAGGAAAATACCTACCTTGTTCTTTTACAGTGTACTCGTGTTTCTGCATATACAAACCACATCCATGAGTGTTTTCTCGAGGGGAGAGGGATGCATCAAAACGCAGCGTTAGCAAAAGACTGCTCCTCTGCACCTCTGGCTTCTCTGACCCTCTCCCAAATCCCCACTTCCTTCATGGCTCTCGCCCCTCGCTCCCTGGAGCCCCGCGTGGGGTGAGAGCCGCTGCACTTCCTTCCTCTCCTGCTCCTCATGCTTGCTGCARGGGCTCAGCTCAGAGAGGCACCGATCTGGCCCTGAAGCTTCAGCTGCAACACAGATCAACCCGTGTCGCCAGGATGGAAAACCCCGCCAGCTTTGGGAGATTTTCTCTATTTTCTATTTTTGTGCTGCTTTCAAGCCTCGTGACTGCACATCAGCCCTCATGGCCCAGCTAATGAGACGCCTTTGAAGAAGTGAAACTTCAAGAAGAGCCATCAGGATGAACCAAAGCAGCTACTGCCAAGCGACCACATCTGCAGCTCCCCATTCCCATGTTTAATCAAGGTCAGTTTTCCAGCCAGGAGGAGATTGAGTGCCCTTTTGTACCTTGCTCTCATCCGCGTCCAGCTCTTGGCCACAGAGTAGGAAGTCCTCGTACTGCACCCAGGGCACGATGGGCTCGGGCAGCTCCCGCAAGTAGAGCTTGAGCAGCGAGGCCACTGTGTGCACATCCGTGTCGCTGTAATGCAGAACGAGCCGCTCGCCAGGGCGCACACCCCAAAAAAACGGCACCAGTGAGGTGTCCAAGCTCTCTGGGCAGACATGGAGACATCTCCATGGGGCAGACAGACCAACCTGAGGGAAAACTCATAGGGGGACCACAGTCCCACATTGGGGACAGAGTCATGGGGCAAATAGCTGCCGGCTGAGGACTTGCTGCACCGCAGGGCTGGCAGGTCCCCAGCATCCACACGCAGGCTGAGTGCCCCCAGCCCTTCACAAGTGTTTCCCTGCAAACAGCGCCCAGCATCCGGAGCTCGCCCGCGTTTTTAAGATTAACAGCAATTACTGACGACATCCTGTGAGGACAGATGTTTGCAGCTTTGCATACCACRCAGTTTACATTATGTCAAGAAGACACTGTCAAGATTATCAGCCTCTCGTTTGACCCACCTTGAAGTCGCTAAACTCTTATAAACTCCTAGCGAAAATCCGCCAGGTCATTTATTTTTAGGATTTGTTGTGTGTTTTAAAACATATATACATACACACACAAAAAAACCCAGAAAAACACTAGTCTCCCCTTTCTTTAAATCCCATCCTTATCCAAACCTCAGCTACTCAGGGAAGGAAAGCAGGGAGAAATGTTATCCCTATCTGGAATCTCAGCAGGAACATGTCTCAAATGTAGGCCTTGGAGAGGGAAGGTGAGGGACACCCCTAAACTTAATATCTGCAGCTGGGCTTCCCCCTGCTCCAACCTCACCGTGCTTTGGCTTTCTGCTGAATCTCCCCTCTGTCCTTGCTGAGTCTCTCTGGAATCGATGGGGTTTAATGAGCTGCTTTTCCCAAGATCCTGGGGTGCAACTAGGGGGAATGCAGCATTACCGGTCGAACGAGGGCCTCTCTCCAGCATCGAAGGCGTCGCGGAGCCGCTTCACCACGTTCTCCTGGCCGGGCAGGCGGAAGATGCCTTCCTCGCTCATGCCGTGCTCCCGGATGAACTCCACGCACTTCTGCACCAGGATGGGCACCTGGTGCTGCCCAAACTTCTGCTCATAGGCCATGGTCTCCACCAGGCGCTGGCCGAACACGGCTAGGGAAAGGACACATGGCTTCAAAGCTTTGCAAAGAACACCCCATTGCTCTGAGTGGCAGTTTCACGGGGATGCTCTAAACCCTTATTTTGACTCTGCCGACTTACAAACTTCAATGGCAGCTCCAGTTTGCCAAGAGCAATAGCACTGCAAATTTGCTTTTTATTTTGGCCCCCGCTTGCCTTTGGGCTGCTGTGATTTGTATTTAGGTGGGAGCTGCGGACCCTGCTCCATCCCATGCAGCTGCATCCTCCTCCCGCCAGTGCAGCACCAGCAGTGACAGCATTGATGGTTTGCTCCTTGCTGAGCAGTAAAAGCTTTACTTTTCCCTAAGCATAGCTTGCAATGGTCTAAAAAACTGCCTGTTGGGTCTGCACCCTGAAGAGCGGTAGAAATGAGGGAAGGAGGGCTGGGCACTCGGAAAAGTGGAGCCAGGAAAGGAGAAGGGGAAAGGCAGGGATTTTTTTACATGCCTTATTCCTCACTCCGTCACTGACCTATTGAATCGAAGTCATCCTCGGGAGTGGCACTTACCAAGGGGTCAATGAAATTCCCCAAGGGGCTCCAGCTGAGCCCTAAGATCCTCATTTGTGCTCGACTACCCTTAACTCTGCCCACATTTATATCAGGCCCAGCACCCTGGGGGCCGGTCTGGTTTGGAGGGCAATGACTGCACATAATATTGCAGATTGCAGTGTGATTGTTGCAGGTCATGCTTTTTGGCCTCCAGCAGAGCTGTTCCTGCTTTACCTCCGGAGGCCGAGCCGAGCACTCTGCGGATGGACTTCACCCACTCCTCCATCTCCGCCTGGGAGCTGGCCATGAGCACGCACGAGTCCTGCCCGGCCCGCATCGGCTCTCCAGAGGCCCCTGCAAAAAAACATCCTTGGTAAACGGAACAGGATGAGGGAAGGCATCAAGGTTTCTTGGCTTCTCTGCTATACATTTTTGGGGTCCCAAACGCTCCGGTAATCCCTATTTTCCATGCAGAAGGAAGCAGCGCTTTGGCGTTTCACTTGTGCTGAGGCTGCTCAGTGAGAGAACAAAAAGTGCTTAAAACTACAGCAAAGTGATAAGCCGATCAGCAAGGTTTCCGTTATCGAAAGGAAATGAAACCAAGCCACGAAAACGCCCTTTCCGACCAGATTTTGGCGCTGCTCCAGCAGGACTCGAGCGAGGCCTGGCCCAAGAGGTGCCGCGGGCTCCGACTCGGACCCTCCGGTGCCGCTGTGGAGTGGAAGCCGTGCGGGAGCTCCCAGCTCACCTGGGATGATCTCGAAGATGAACCTGCCGCCTTCTTCCACGGTGCCCGCCACCTCCTTGATGGTGCTTCCCTGCAGGGACAGGCAGCCCTAGGGCCAAGCAGAGCAGGGGGTGTAAAGACCCATTTTTCACCTGCCCAAATCCTCCCTTTGAACAACTTTTAGGAGCTAGTGTTTCTTTTTCTCTTTGCAAAAAAAAAAAAAAAAAAAAAAAGCCTTGTAAAAAAATGATTTTTCATGCAGTAAGGGACAGTTCTTAAGCACCATTCTTTTTTCTGATGAGCTGATAAAGCTGAGAAAGCTGGTTATTATATATTAATGCATTATATTAGGCCAACGGGAGTGCATTAAGAAGAACATCTCCAGCAGGTCGAGGGAGGTGATCGTCCCCCTCTACTCAGCTGGGTCTGTTCAGCCTGGAGAAGAGGAGGCTGAGGGGGGACCTGATCAGTGTCTATAGATACCTCAAGGGAGGCAGTGAGGAGGAGGCGGCCGGCCTCTTTTCAGTGATGGACAGTGATAGGACTAGAGGAAATGGCTTCAAATTGAAGCATCGGAAGTTCCACAGGAACTTAAGGAAGCATTTCTTCACTGTGATGGTGACAAAGCACTGGAACAGGCTGCCCAGAGAGGTTGTGGAGTCTCCTTCTCTGGAGATCTTTAAAACCCGCTTTAAAACCCAGCCCTGTGCCAAGTGCTCTAGGTGACCCTGCGTGAGCAGGGGGGTTGGACTCGATGACCTCTGAGGTCCCTTCCAACCTTGCGCATTCTATGATTCTATGATTATACTATATATTATACATCAATGTATTCTATTATATATTATTCTTCTGCCTTTTCACTTTTAGCTGTTCTTTTCTCCTCTTGGTAGTGGAAAAGACCAGAAGAGATGGGCACAGCCGAACACTGGACTATGAAAGAAACTCGTTCCCTTTACATGGAGGCCCTTGCAACAAAACCCTAGTGACAGCCAACGCCGCGAGGGCCAAAACCCAGGGTGCGGGGACAGCCAGCGGGCTGGGAGCAGCTCCGGACCACGTAGGTGAGAGACGGCACGAGCCGTCAGGGGCCATGGGATTTCACTTTCTGTTTCCACATCCCCTTTTACAGTTGGAAAACACTTCTCCAAGGTATCCCCAAGCTGGAGCCGGCATCAGGCCCCACCGCTCTGCTCGCTGCCCTCCCCGTGCTCCGACTCAGTCCGAGCATCGTCTTTCCCTGGGGAGCACGACAGCCCCTGTTGGCTTTTGCCTTGAGAGCAGCGCCTTAAAAGCCTCCTCAAAAGGGGCAAAAGGCACCGCAAATCCCGCCACAGAGCCTGCGCTACCTGCGGCTTGGCCTCGTCCTCGTCCTTGTAGTAGAGCAGCTGTTGGCCCTTGAGCACGAAGAAGCGCTGCTGCCAGTTCTTGACGATGGAGCGCTGCTTCCTGAGCCAGCCCGTCTTGAGGGGCCGCTCGAGCGGGCTCGGCGAGGCTGGCCGCGCGCCGCCGGGTGCTGCCTCGCCCGGCATCATGCTCTTGGAGCGCGCTGGAAGCGGGAGGCAGAGAGGGAGCTGGCGGGATGGGCCCAGTGCTGCCGCGCACCGGCTCGTGCGGAAGCGGCTGCCGCAGCTGGCAGCAACACTTCCTTTTTCCTGCGTGGGAGCAATTGTCTCGCAAGTGAGAAGAAAATCATTAGCTATTTTTGCTAATTTCTTTTTAAGGGCAGTGGGTGGGTTTTTTGGGATTTTTTTGGCACTTTTTTTTTTCATGCCCTCCCTTCCCCAATCCGCAGGCAGCAGCAGTAGCCGAACGCCCCGGCCGACCTTGTAAACAGCCCTTCAGTCTAGGTCGCTCCTTGCCTGCCTTTTCCAAAGGGGATGTTCCCATAGGAAGGTGACCTCATGGGAAACAAAGCGCGGACATGGGTTTATTGATCAGGAAGATGCTGCTCCYGGTCGGCATCGCTCGGACCGTTCATGCCAGCATTGTGCTCCGGGTGGAGGTTTCGGAGGTTGGTGGCACCATCCTGCTTCCCCTTCAGGAATCCCCCAGCAGGGAGCCCGGATGGGTTTTCCAGATGGTGCTGGTGAACGAGGCCTGGCCACCGAGTGGGAAATGCTCCCACCACTGGGACCCTCAGCCTAAATGAGTCAGGAAATGGGAATGGGAGTAGGAATGGATGTGGGAATGGGATCCCTCCTTGCAGCCTTTACAGTGTTTCACCCAATGCAAAATGAAGGGGCAGGTTGGGGTCTCCTTCCTTGTGCTCCACACATGGGCGCAAGGTCTCCCAGCGCCCGCAGCCTCTGGAAACGTCCTTGTTCCTCCTCCCGCCCTGTCCCCTGCGCGGGACCGAAGCCCAGGGTCTCCCTCCCTGCATCCCACATCCCGTATCCCACATCCTGCATCCTGTGGTGGCTCCGTGACCGCAGGGCCGGCCCTCGCCGGCCGGCAGCAGCCCGGCCCTCAGCCAGCACCAGCCGAGTGACCGCACAGGGACAGTCACCGGCCCTGTTCCAGCGTCACCTCCTCGCCCGGCCCCCCGTCACCAAATCTGTGCCAGGGGGTTACATTGCAGATGATTTGCAAAGGGCCCTGCGCGCTGAGAGCCGGCGAGGGAGCGGGTTGGGCCACGTCCACAATCCCACCCATGCCGGCGGCCCCAGAGCAGTGTCCCCAGCGCCGACCCCCGCCAGCAGGACCCCGGCTCAAGTGGCAGCGCGGCAGGCACGCAGCGCCAGTGCCAGTACCTATTCTCGCAGCATCCATTTTCAGGTTGAAATCCCAGTTCCGGGGCAGCTTGAGCGACATTTTGGGTCAGGAACAGGGCAGGTTTTGATGTCCTTTTCCTTCGCCTCGCTCCCGCGGGGCCCCGCTGCAGAGCTGGGCTGAGTCCTGTGGGACCGCGGGCCCTTGCCGGCACCACGGGGCTCCCTTCACCCGTGCACTTCCTCCTCGGTGCCGCGCGGCCGTGAGCCACCCCATAAAAGTACCTTCCTGCCCTTGCTTCCCCGCAGTGCTCACACCCCACGCGCTCCTCTGCCCTTCCTTCGGAAACCCTTGGGGTGCCGCCTCGGGGGTGTCCGCATAGCGCCCGCGCCGGCGCCTTCCCGCTTGCGTTGCCCTGCGCTTGGGGAAGTGGCTGTGCGGCCCCCGGCGCCGTTGGGGAAGTGCCCTGGGCGCCGCGTGCGGCGGGACCGGGGCGCTCGCACTCGATCATTGACACTGCCCCGGTCCCCAAAGCCGCTCCGAGGCCGCCCTGATGCAGCTCGAGGGATCCGTGGGATGTGGCCAAGGGGGGGACTGCAAACGGGCACATACCCCCACATCCTGCTTTGGACCCTGAACTACCCCCGTTTGCCTCCTAGCAAAGGGCTCGAGCACCGAGCGTCACTTTTTCCACATTTCAGCTCTAGTGTTTCATGCAAGTCAATTTTTTTTTCAGCCAAGTTTCTTTAACACCCACAGGGGCAACAACGGGCCGGGGTCCCACGGCCCCATGTGAGCAAGGACCATCTTTCTAGATGAGATGCCCAATCCCAGCACCTGGAGAAGGGGTCTCCAAGGCCGCTGCCAGCATGGCGGCCAGGCAGGGCGGATGCAGACACAGCGGCACAAGGAGAGGCTCTGAGTCATCGTTCTGGGCTGGCCTCTCGCCAGAAGCCGCTCACAGCAACCAGGGAACCTTGATAACAGCTGAGGATGAAGCAGAACCGAAGCGCAGGTCAAGCCAACCTGGGCAGAAGGGAAGAGGTTTGAGAGACATGAATCCTCCTCTTAATCCCCAACCCTGATGAGCTAAAACCCGTGGTGTGCGGGCAACCTGCTCTGCTCTCTGGAAGATCCCTGAGGAAGGAGGAGCGAGGAGGCAAGACCTGAAGCTGTCAAAACCATAGTAGGTTGGTCCTTAGCTGCTCCACAGGGCCACGATGATGCCTCCTTGAGTGATCTCCTTTAAAAGGCTTGGAAAAAAGGTTCTTGGCACCTCCCCCACCATCCCATGGACAACAGGAAGTAGTTTTGCTCAAGCCACTYAAAGCAGATTGGGCAGCTCAGCGCCATTTGCAAGCAAGGACGAATAAAACTCCTGTACAGATAATGGAACTTATATTTATTTAACTGTAACATATAGTATATAAATAGGGTAAATACTATTAAAATATACAATATCTCACATTCGGACATTCGGTCAAAGAAAGGCAACTCTACATGTGTAGCTACAATATGAATCAAAAGAACGATGCACAGAGAAAGAAGCCAATGGTCTCAACACAGCAGGCCCAGAGGAGGGAGCACACGCAGATCACAGCAGCAGCAGGATGCGGCTCTGGGGCTGGCGCAGTGGGCGGGAATCACACGAGATCTCATGGGATACTGTTTGTGATAAAAAAGGAGCCCGACCTGGATGTACAAAGACAGCGGCAATTCCTGGGCTGGTGCCGAGCATGGGCTGGTCTCCTCCGCACTGCGAGCAGCAACAATGCTTTAATGTTTTACTCACTTTTCGCAAACTCTAGACGGGCTGGGAAGCAGAGCAGAGCCCAGACCATCTCCCCCAACACCCTTCATCTACCATCAACATCCAGTGCCGCTTCACCAGGACAGCCAGCTTGCCATGTTCTACAGAAGTAGCTTCCTAGCACCTGGTCCCTCTCCATTCTTTCCAATGCTTCATTTCCGTCATGCAACACTTAATTTTCCCTCCCGGGCAGGAGGATCTCTCTCCAAACCWACCATCCTGGGACAACAGCAAGGTCAAGTGTTTGCAAGGCACAAGGAAACGCAAAGAAATGCAACATCGGAGCAAGGAAGTTCAGCGAACATGGGCGCGGGATGCTAAACCCTGTGCACGTGACTTTGCTCTTCGCTGCTAGGAAGGAAGCAGAAAGAAAAGCAAATAGCTGCAGGCTCCTGGCGAAAGTCCCTGCCACCTCCTGCTCTCGGCCCCCACACRCCACCGCACGCAGCTGCTTTGCCCTCCAGTGTCCGCAGACAGCACTGCACCGCTGCACAAGGCCACCTTTCACTTCAGATCAAAGCACACAGTGCTTTGTGCTGCCTTATTAACTACAACTCATAAGAAATGCAGAAAATGTAAAGCAAGAGCAGCAGCACACGGAAGAGATGCAGGAAAAATGCTCTGCTATAAAGATGTTTTTTCGTATTTACAGCTTCTTCTGACTTAGGACCTGCCAGCACAGTATGAGGGACAGACTCCTTTCGACTCCTGCCAAAAACTCTGTCATTTCCACATGCATTCTCCATCCCGGGACTCCCCACCCGCATCCCCAGGCCTCACTTTGCCCAGCTTTACTCAGATCGCTGCAAATCACACCCAAAAACCTACGTTTGAGCAGACTCTTGTATCTGCAGTGCAATGGATGCACACATGTGCTCCGCAGGGCCCAGAAGCTGAAGCAGCTCTTGCAACACACGAAGGGTCATATAGAAATGAGACAGAGATGGCACCTGTGCAAACACTCACACGCGCTCGCGCTCTCCAGGGGAACAAAAGCAACGGCAGAGTCGGAATATGGAGCACGAAGCATGAAATATTTTCAGGCGTTTTATTTTGCATCGACACTGAGCAAGCTTGTGGGTGCATGTGTTGCTGGGTACGCGTGAAAGGTTTATGACAGCAACTGCTTGAAAACACCAGTGTATTTAGTCGGTATCACCTTTCCCTGACACTCACTCACCAGGTTAAAATAAGGAAAAATTTCTCTCTCCCCTGCACAAGCTATAGAAAGGAGTAAAATCAGAATCACCTTGGACATGGGAATACTGCGTAGGAGCTAGTATAAACTTGGGATATTTTCACTACCTGATCACCAAAAAAAAAGGTTTACAATCTTTAGGGCGCTCATTTTTAAATAATAAAAAAGAAAGCATGACAAAATAAAGGAAAGTACTCAGATAAAACTTCCAACTATTGAGTGCAACCTAGTTAGGATGAGATTTAAGAAGCAAAGCAGGGCAGCAGCCTGCTGGTAACCAAGGCCAGGCTGAACTGCAACGCAGACCATGATAAACTCAGCAGCATGACACCTAGAACTCAAGTAACAAACAGGTGAGAGACATGATCCCTGAAAGAAAAAATACAACAACCGACAGTGCCGGCAAGTGCCAGAGCCCCAAGTTGCCACAGTCAGACAAAAAACTCTGTTGGAAACCAGCTCTCCACAGGAGCTAAAGCATCACTGGGGTTCCAACCATCAAGATGGGAAGTGTGGTTCAATGTTGTTTTCTTAAAGATTACATGGGGAGGGAAAAAAAAAAAAGAGCCAAGTTATTTAAATGGTTGTTCTTGCTTGGTAGGAGCTACTCAGTGAAACTTCGTTCTTTCAAATACCTTTTTACCTGGTTCAGTTTTGAGGCAATTTGAACTTCCCATGTTCCTACAGCAACCACTGTGTTCTTGGCTCCTTGACCCCATGCAAAACCTTTCCTGTAACCAGTTTGGAGTTTTGATGGTTAAAATTTCCCAAAACACCCCCCATAAGGGTGAATATGGGAGACCAGGAGAGAACGTGGGTCCCCGGAGCTCCTGTCAGGAATGGTGACGGATCCAACCGCCAAGAGAGGAGGAAGGAGGCCGGGGAGCCGCGAGGCTCCAGCAAATGGGGAGGTTGTGTCCCTGCGCGAGCAACACTCGGAGGAAAAGCCCAGCTCTGCCCACAGGTATCGAACCAAAGACCAGGTCCAACTGGACCATCCTATTTCACCCAACCGTCCTTCCAAGCCCTAACTCCTTTGCAGCTACAAACTCAAGAGTTGTTCATTTTAACCAAAGCTATATAAATATATTACATAAAAAAAAAAAAAAGCAAACATTTACCAAGAAAGGAAGAAAAGTTACAGTGAAATGAGGCCTTGTTATTGTCTTAAATCAGGCAAAAGCCAGGAATTTCCTCAGGGAGACTCGCCTGGTTCTCAGTTCAGTTCCAACTGCCTGGACGTCTAGGCGTCCTCCAAGCCCCCTAACATACCCTTGTCGACAAGGTGCGCCTTGAGCGTGTTGAAGATGTGCAGCTGCTGGTCGGGCCGCAGCGTTAGGAACTGCTGGATCAGCTTGCTCGGGTTTGGGCCTCTGAAACACAAAGGCGGCATCATCAGGGAGTTGCTCCCAAGCCCCCATGGTCAGGAACCCAGTTTGATCCAAATAGCAGTCTTAAAATAGCAGTTGTGCTGCCTCTTCCTTGCATGTGTGGCTATACAACTATTATATGGTGCAAGAGAAATGGCTTTTTGCACTCAGTGAGTTCTGGGGAAGCTGTGCGAGACCCAAAGAGATGCATAAGGAACACGGAGCAGCTTCAGGGGGGCTGAAATAACACAGCTTGGGAAACGAGGGTTGCACTCCCAGCTAAGCACGACACTGGCAAGAGGTGCTTCCTTTCCTGGAGCCTCCATTTCCTCTCTCATTCTTTGCCTTGTATTTTCCCATGTTAATCTCATGGGCACAACCACTGTCTCTAAATAGAAGCCTGTTTGACTGGGTCCCCAAACTTTACCATGAAGCAGCAGGTACCTGATAAAGCTGGCGATGTACACGTTAACGAAGGTGGCCATCAGGTACTGACAGTCAAAGCGGTCCATGATTCCCCCGTGGCCTGGGATTGTGTTGGCAAAGTCCTGCACAAGTAAGAAAGGGATGCACTGAGCGGGCTCAAACACCCCTCACCTGCTCCTGCTCTACGTGCATCTCTGCTCTACGCTCAGACTGGGGCTCTAATTCCTCTAAGATAAAAGTCAGCCCAAGAATTAATTTTGCTCAACATCTCCCCTGGCTAGAAGCGTTTCTTCTTTATGAAGGCCACTAGCACCTGAGGGACATCAAGACTTAAGTAAGGTCTGTCAGGGTCGAGGAAGACTAATGTTTATCACTTGCACCCCTCTCCTGCCTTTCAAGGTATTTTAACTGCACAGAAGAGTGTTTATATATATAACCTGCCTGTAACACATCAAGGGAAGCCCTAATTGCAAAATTTCCTGACTCTATCTTTGTTCCTCTAACTCAAGTTCTGCATTAAAGCAGGGTTTAGAATATCACAGTTTGATTTGTAAGATCTTCCCCCTCACCTGTTCAGTTAAAAGAAAAAACCCACCCAGATTGTGCCCCACCACTGTATTTTGCTGCCGAGCAAACCTCTTCTCTTCCAGAGCTCCCAGTTTGTGATTCTTGGAGCAGAGGGACATTTTATAGTGGTAGCAGCTCTTGATGGAAGGTCTGAGTCCGTTCAAACTTTGCCTTTCAAAAGGCAAACAGTCTTGGACAAGAGGGGTGTCCTTACCTTGATCTTGAAGGCCCTCTTAAATCCACTCGCAAAGAAGCCTCCAAAAGGCCCAATGAGGGAGGCAAAAGTGGACAGGGCAATGCTGTGGATTTGGAAGGGATACATCCGGACCGTCTTCTGCAGAAACAGACAGACATGTCAGAGCAGCATTTTCACAATGGACAGCAGTGCCCTGAAGCTTTCCCTTGCTAAATGCAAAGCCAAAAGCTGCAAGCAAGCAGCAGTTACAGCCAGCCAACTCCTCCAAAATGCTACACACATATCCTCTGGGAAGGAGCTAGAAAAATGCTACAGGGCCTCTGCAAGTGTCCTTTCCTCCCCTCTAAAGGTAAAGATTTTCTTCAGTCTCAACACACATCTCAAGACAAATGACACTGAGACGCAGGTTGTACAAAAGGGAGCTGTGAGATGTCCTCTGGATCATCTTGCCCACTGCTTGTCCCCATTTCCATTCTCTGCAGGCTTCAGGCCAGTTGATTTACAACTGACTTAAGCCACGAGACTTGGGTCAATTCTTCTGAGACTTCCACTAACAGAGAACACCATTAATTCCCCTCTTGACTAGATCTAGCACAACCATTTCTTGCCATATAGGACTTCGGAGGGTTAAAACACATCCTCACTCTCCTCCTGGTGCTGTCCCAAAAAACCCAACCCTTCCATCCTCCTGCCAGGCAATGGTGTGCACCAAGAGTCCTACCCAGCCGAGCACGGACTGCAGCACTGCGGGGATTTTGTACTCCTGCAGCTGGAACAACTCAGACGGCTCACAGTCCACCGTGAAGCTGTTGGTGTCATTGTTGAACTCCACCGGGCAGGTGAAGCACCGGTAGCCAGACATCACGTACGAGAGCTTCGAGAAGACACAGATGCACCAAGAGAAAGGAGGATTAGTGGATCCTGCGCAAGGAGACGAGACGGGGCAACCCAAGGAGACAAGACTAGGATGGAGCCACGTCCTTCCTAGGCTTCATTAAGCAGATTACTCTCCTGAGAAGCACTAATTGGCTGAAGGTACAGTAAGCATTTCCTTTAAGTGCATCTGTTCAGCAAGCATGCAGCAGCAGGCTGAGACAGGCTACACCGCTTGGTAGCAACCAGGCCCAGGGATGCTCAGAAAAACAGAAATATCTTCATACTCAGAGATGATGCAGGCCTCACGGCTACCTATCTCGTTAAAGGCTTCACTTAAATTGTGTGGGTAAGGAAAGCAAGCTGCTTTTCCTCATGCTCTAGTCCTAAAGAGAAGAGTTTAAAGCTTTCCTGAATTTGGGGGACCAAAATGCTGTCACCTTATGAAGGGAAAAGAGCAAGGAAGTAAAGCACCATGTCATTTACCAGCAATCCAAACAAAACGGTGGCAAAAAACCCTCCGATAAAACCTTCCCAGGTCTTCTTTGGGGAGAGCTGCAGCCAAAGAGAGAAGAGGGAGATGGTTAAAACTTCTGCCTCTACACACATTAGGCAGCCCTTCCTCCACTGCGAGCCCTGAGGGCAAACACAGACCAGTGCAAACAGCCAGCAGGGAGGGCTCAGGGCAAACCTCACACTGCCCTCTTTGTCCTAACGCTCCGTTCCGCTGCACAAGACCCAAAGAAGCCCAATGGTTTGCATTTGGCTGCTTGTTCTTATCAGGAGCCTTTTCACCCTCTTTCTTCTCGTTTAACTTAGTGGATGAAGCTTTTCGGGCAAGAGTTTTTAAAGGCCATTCTGTTCCCCAAAGCATTACGAACCTTGATGAGCGGCGTGCGGCCAAAGAAGAACCCAAACATATAGGCCATGATGTCGTTGCAGATCACGCAGGAAATTGGGACGATGAACCTGGATGGGGAGGAAAACCAAAGCATGTGAAACCACCAGACACTGGACATCTCCAAGAGCTAACAAGGTGAGCAATATCATGTGTTCTCCCAGGCTGTCCCATCAACACCTCCCTGCCCAGTGCAATCTCATAACACCCAGAGCAACCACCCGAAGCTCCTAGGAGAAACGGAGGTGTCACACCACCGCTCCAGACCAACCAGCAGGCCAAGGACACAGAACAGCCCACTTTAAGCATAGCTTTTCCTTTTGCAACACACGATGTGTTGGTAGAGAGATGAGAAGACAAATGCTGCTCGAGACCAACACTGTACAGACCAAGCAGCCAAAGCGGGTCCTAAGTCAATGCGGTAGCACTCAATCTTGTGCTTTTTTATCCTGAATAGGTCAGTCCCTGGCAAAAAGCATCTAGGCCATTTGGGATTTTTGAAAGGACAGTCTTAWCTGAAAACACAGCAAGCCGCACCAAGCTGCAGAAATCACAGGAGGGCCAAACATGCAGCAACTCACCATATCATTCCTTCAAAGAGGTTGTGAATGATGAGGTGTGACTGGGTAACAACGATCAGCAATGTCACATGGGTCCATCCAAACTGGAAGAGAGCACAGCATGGAGCCCGCTCCGCCCACAGACACTGCTCGAGAGGCAGCGCCGGCAGGAACCAGAGGTTGAGCCCGGACACCTCATGGAGCCCGGACAAGTGACACCCTCCCCAGACAGGCCCTGAGAGCAGGGAGCAGTGACACTAATCAACAGACACGTCCTTCAGCTCCAGGGCTGAGCTTCCCTGGGAAGACTTCTGCTAGACCGGGTGCTCTTTAGCCTACCCATCCCGCACATCTCAGTCAGCTTTTTGGCACTAGGAGAAGAGCCCAAGGCCAATGGATGCCCAAGCTGTGTCCCTGTGCGCTGAACCTAGCTGGGTCAGTGGTGAAACATGAGCAATATCCTACTGACATTTGAAAAAGGGGACATAGCCAATTAACCCTTGGGTGATCTACCCACAGCACAAGAGTCAATTAGTCTCATGCGGTCATTTCAGCTTGCAGAGTTTCTTAAGAGCATCCTCAAGTGCAGAGAGAAGAGAACTGATGTCTGCAGGGCAATCTGGTCACGGCCACCTTCCTAAATATTCAGTCTGCTAGCAGCAGTTTTCTTTTGGGGCAGCATTACAACGCACAGCAGCACTGAAGCCCCAGCTGGCACCTATTCCTCTACACAAGGCTTCAAGTAGCCCATATTATTTATTCTTCTGCCTCGAGCGGGGGCAGCCAGCCCCTGGGTTTAACCTTACCATGTAGAACTGGAGGCGATAGTGTTTCTTCACCAGACTCAGGACAAACATGCAAAAACCTGGTGGGAAGAAGAAGAAAAATGAACTGATGGGAACACATCTTCATCAGAAAGAAAGGCTTTTTTCTCTCCGTAACAGCGCACAGCTCCACAAGGAGTTTTATTCTGAGTAAAGTGGCAATAGCAACTGGGGAAATAGGCTTTTCGGGAAGTCAGAAAATACGATTCCCTATATATAACACTTGCAAATCAAGCCTGATCGTCCCCAGCGAATCAGAGTTTTTTTTCCAGAGAGGTTTTCCCTTTTTCCCCGCTGTGAACTTGCTTTCACATTAACTGGACATGCTATGGAAGCTGCGTCACATGTAACACTTGTGAGAAGACTATTTCAAGAAATGAAGGAGATTTCCTCCCTCCAGCCCAGGCAAACTTAAACCAGGGTCTTTACCTGTCAAGTAGAGAGCAAAAGAAATGAAGCGGTGGTATTTGCTGAGAATTCGCAACGGCTCCTCTCTCTGAACGAGGGTGAAGAAATAATCTGTGACAGTCTCGCCGTAAAAGAAGTAGTTTACGCAGAGCAGGAAGTACCTGTGGGTGGAGGCACAGGTCTGTGAACAAGAATCCCAAAAGTTTTCCTGGGAAAGAGGCTGATCTCCAAGGTCTTTACACTGGTCTGACCACAGTGAAGAGCCTTCCTGAAGGCCACAGCCCAAATTTCAACCTGCCCGGGGTTTGAACTTGCAGTTGCACCACCCCGTGCCCTCTCCCCATGGATCCTGTCTGGGATTAGCTCAAGCCTTCAGATGCACAAGGATGTTCTGCCTTTAGGTGGCACTCCTCAACAGGCCTCGGGGAGCTGGTGCATCCGAAAAGCTCCGCTCTGGACCTGGCCTCRGCCTTGCTCTGCCTGGCATCCGAGCTGCCCCGCTCAACCATGGCCCAGTGTTCAGCAGCATTGCACAACCTCCTAAAATAGGCCTCCCATGCCACGTGAACCACCGTGTCTGTGTCCAAGTGGTGACAGCCATCCAGGATACTCAGACAGATTCACAGAATATTTAAGGTTGGAAGGGACCTCTACAGATCATCTAGTCCAACCTTCCTGCTCAAGCAGGCACACCTAGAGCATGTGGCACAGGGTGGCATCCAGGTGGGTTTTGAAGACCTCCAGAGAAGGAGACTCCACAACCTCCCTGGGCAGCCTGTTCCACTGCTCTGTCACCCTAACAGTAAAGAAGTTGCTCCTCACCTGGAGACGGAACTTCTTGTGCATCAGCTTGTGCTTCAGACGGATCACAGGATTCAAAATCTCAGCTATTCATAAATTGCAGGACTAACTTTATCATGACAGGGTCTAGCAAGACATTAATCTATCAGGATATGAGGGAACATTTTCCTTACAGGAGCTGCTAACATCCAACACTGGACAGTTGACAGCAACCTCCATGGTCTCTGTTTTGGAGGTCGTGAGGTGATCCCAACCCCGTGGTCTCCGTTTCAGAGGTCTTGAGGTGATGCCCTCCGTGCATCTCCTCTGCGTTGAGATGAAATGCATGAGGAGGAAGCAGCCACCTACTCACCAGCTGAGGGTCCTGAACCAGGGCAGGTCATATGAGTGATACACGTTATAGCCAATAGTGATAATCTCATGGAAACACTTGATCTGGACGCACATCACCTGCACAGAGACAGCGGGAAGCTGTAGCATGTGTCGCCTAAATGCTCCTCTCCTCACGGAGGAGGAAGATGAGGCTCTGAGCTTCCTGCACCAGCAATGGTCCCAGCAGCCACCCCCCTGCCAACATCAGTCACCTCCCGGGGGCACTTACTATCATCATTAACACCATGGGCCCCAAGTAGATGATGATGAAGAAGAAGGTGATCATCGCCAGTGTGAGGATGCCTCTCACCCACCAATTCTTCCATCTAGGCCACAAAGAAAGAAAGAGGTTAGAGAGAGGGCCAAAGCCTCACTACAATGATGATGATGATGATGATAGCTCAAGTGGGTTGTCCATCTGTTCTGCAGGCAGGAGGCCGCTGCCCCGCGCTACCTTGAGGACAGGTTGGAGAGGGCCCTGTTCAGGACCTCCGGAGTGTCGTCAGACGTGAGCATCGGGGCCGAGCCTCCGAATTCAGACTTGCTCTCGCTGTCAGACGCTGTCTCCCCATCGAGCTTGTTTTCCGACTCTGACTCCTGCAAGTGGGAGAGAGATGCTGGAGCTGAGACACCCAGACGAGCCCCACAGAGCGGCACCCACCACCCTCTGGCTGACATAAAGGCAATGTGAACCAACAGAAAAATAACATCAGCTGTTTCACGCGCTCAGAAGAATTGTTTTATTCCCCTGGCCGTGACAGCAGCAGCAACAGGAACAGATCTGATCCCTTTGAGGGCTGAAAGATGCCTGAGAGGTGATGGGAAGGCCAGCTCCCAGCACAGCGAGTACCTAAGGGACACGGACTCGTTAGCAGGAATTTCTGCAAGGTTTCCCAATGTCCAGGCACGTCTCCAAGCAGGACGGCTCGAGGCTCCCACATGGATTTTCTGAGCGCTAACTTTAAATGCTGTTGCTATAAATAGCCCCACGGCTGCACTCGGGAGGCCAGAGAGGAAGAACGCGGCTTATCGCTCAGCGCTGGCCGGGCCGGCAGGAAATGCAGCACGCGGGAAGGACACGGCCACCCCTGCCCCTCGTCCCCATCCTTTGGCCCACGCGGCACTTTGCTCCGGGCAAAGTCCTGCATTCAGGGGGCTGCCTAAATAAACAGCAGCCTGGCGGGCAGGAGGCTGCTCGTGGCTCTGCAACACTGGGAGAAAAGGATTCAGGCCAATTCCAGACTCCCCGGCAGTCTCTGGGGGCAGTTTTAACTCCAGTCCAGCTCTTTAGTACAGCACAGATGCAAATTTCTGCATTTTGCCCATGGTTTCATCCTGCCCCTTGGAATGAGAAAGGAAAAGGTCCGCTCCCTGGGGAACGCTCATGCATGGAGCATGCAGAGGCCCAGGAGTCTGCTCACGTGCTGGCTTAAAATTCCCAGGAAAGGGAACATGTTTGCAGGAAGGGCAAGGAAGGAGCCGGCCAAGCTCCTGGCAAGCGGGAGCTGCCACCGGCCCCGGCTCCCGGACAGCGGTGCCTGGCTCTGCCCGCGCTTCCCTGGAGCACCGAGGCTCCCTCAGCCCAGGCAGGAGGGATAACAAAGCCCTAAGGTAGCGGTGGCTGCAGGTCAGGTGCTTACGGCGGACACCGTCGGATGGAGGCAGCTAAAAATACCGCGCGGAGCCAGAGGATCGTTCCGGAGCGAAGCCAAGCACCCAGGCATCGTGTGCGCTCCGAGCAGGGTCCCCGGCCTCCAGCTGCAGAGGTTGGAAATAAAATCCTTAAGTGCTGATTTTAAGGCAACCCAAGTGCCCGTCACTCATGGAAGCGCAAGGCTCTTGCCAGGCGGTAAAAGGACTGAACGCTGGAATGGGAATAGCGTAAATAGGGGAAAAAGTCACCCGTCAAATGGATGGATAACACACATTTTAGTGCCTTCGTTTTGTAAACAACTTGGTGTGGGAGACCAGCTTTTCTCCCTGGTTGGATTGCTGCTGGAACAGGATGCTAGGATCGCACAGGGTGTCGTGCTGGAGACAGGCTATGGAGCAGGCTCAGTAATTGCCGCTATTTTTATTCCCTTTATGCAAATTGCAACCACCAGCCTGCAAATCATCAGTCTAAGCAGCTGAGCACAGTGCTAAATAACTTGCTCCAGCCCGAGCACGATGCTTTCGGGCCTGGTCTCCTTCGCCCAGTGGTGCCTTTGGCAGGGAAACAACCTCCCAGGTGTGTTTCCATCTGTATCCAYGCGCTTGGGGCCGGTGCAGCCTCTCACCGAGGATTTCGGGTCGATGGATTTGCTGTAAGTGCACAGCAGGAGCAAGCGCCGGGGAGCACAGCACCATGCGCGCGGCAGTACCGCTCCTGCGCGCCCGCACTGCCCCATGACGCGATGGCAAAGGTGGAGCTGCACCTTCCACATCCTGGAAGGTGCATTCAGAAGGGGAGCATCCCCATGACTCCCTCCCGCTCCGACCTGCTCGCCCTTTTCTGTCTTCAAGGCAAGGGTGATCTTGGGGCTGGGCGGCTCCCGGCCGCCTCTCCATGTGCTCCGGGCTACGTCATTACGTCTTTGGATGTCCATCAGGAAGAATTCGCCACAGATCCTTAATCACCACAGATCCTTAATATTTCCACTGGCTCCAGGCATTATTCAGGGTGATAATCACACCCTGCTAAACCTCCGCAACAGGCTTTGAGCTGCAGCTGGAATAAGCAAAACCCTCCAAGTGCCACCTCATTGCGACGGACCCCTTGCAAACAAGGGGTGATAAATATGCTCCACTTGCAGCAAATTCACCAAAGAATCAGGATTTACCTCTTTCCCCTGCCAACAGACCCCACTCCCTCCTTAACATTGCAACATGCCTCTTCTGTGCATTAGCAAATGCAGCCCAAGAGGATGGAGGCGGCCATTGCAGAGCCATTTTCACGGAGCTCATCCTAAACTCCAAGGCACTTTGCCGGGGGCCGATGCTCCCATTCCTTTTGTCAGGCGTTTTAACCTTTTACGACTTGGAAGCAGCACTTTCCGATCGCGAACCACAGGAGACAGAGGCAAGAAAACAAATCCTATTGCGCATTCCATTCAGAGAAGACGGACGCCTGAGCAACGTTTGTGAGTAAATATTTTGTCCTCTCAAAGAAGTTAATGGCAAAATGAGTTGCCCGGGGTTTTTTTAACCATTTGCAGGCAAGTGGTGGGAATCTGCRCTGGCGTTTTGGGCGGCCACCGGGGTTTTACCTGAGGATCCCTGATCCATCTCAGTTGCCATAGAAACTAGTGGGATATCTCCCAGCCCCAAATCTCCTGCCCAACAGGGAGGCAGAGWTCAGCCCAGGCAGCCAGCAGTGCTCAAGAAATCCCATCATTTGAGCACCTTTCTGGCAGCGAGGCTGCGTTTTATTTGGATTTCCTGTCAGATTTTAACCCAAAGGAGCCATGGAAAATGCTAAAATGCTGTTAAAGAGAAACCTCACGTTGTCTTTTGCRTCTGGCAGCTGGGAACAGCCATGCGGAAGCCTCTGCTATTCCCACCTCAGAGCAGGCACTGTTTTGCCCAGGCAGCTCTCGCCTCCGATATCTACAGGGTCAAATTCGATATAATTAATCTATATAAAGGTGATAGTCTCGCTTATGGAAAGGGCAAATGGAGCTTTGTTCCCAGGCAGATGCAGAGCTGAGTGCTTGATCTTTTCTGGGGGGAAAATGAGGCCTTTAACCACCTTCTGCCCCAAAAGAGGCCCACAGGACAGCAAAGTTGGAGATGTTTCTTCCGCCCTCCCACCCTGTCCCTGCGTGACGGCATCAAGGGGACCCTGCCGCTCCCTTTGCCTCTCCAAAAACAACGGTGAAGGTCAGGATTCCCTGCTGTTCAGAAGGGATTCCCTCCCCCATCCAAAGAAAAAACACATTCCAGCCCAAAGCACGCAGGGAAATTAGGAGATGCCTATAAATGGAGGCAATAACATCGCGAAAAGCAGAAACACGAGGGCCGAAATGAGCGGAAAATAAAACAACACCCGTTGCTGACTCGTGTGTCCGAATGGAGCCGTCCGCTCCGGGGTTTGTTATCCCAGCAAATCCAGAGGGTTAAGGCTCCAACCGCTTTGCAGGAGTTACTGTATACAAAAGAGCCCAAAAATAGGTTGCTGGTTCTGGCATCCCCCCAGGATTCCCTACTGCTAAGACAGGAACCTGCCTCCCCCTCTACGGCAGATAAGCCGTAGCACGAGGTTCCCCCAGATCTGCCTGGCGCCTCCCAGGGCCCTTCCCGAGCCGATGGGCTTTGCTGTCCCTGCAGAGACAAGGAACATTCCCAGCGCAGAGCTCCCAGGGCAGATGTTAAAGGAGGCTGGTTTGGAAGAGCTGTCTCTGAGCCCCTGTGTTTCCCACCTCGTGCAACATCCTATGGAAAAAGGAATATCCCTCTGCCAAGGGGGGAAACACAACTCCAAGGGATGCGATGCAAGAGGGAAGGCAACGAGCTCTGGCTTGACGTGAGGAATGAATCTAGAATCTGCAAGCGGGAAAAGAATCCGCATGGGAACGGCGGGAGAGCAGGATCAGTTTCAACCCTCTAATCTCCTCCATCCGCCCATTAGCRGCAGTGGCCAAGAGCACCCGAGTCCCTGGGGCAGAAGAGGTGCAAACGGTACCAGCACCATCATCCCTGCCTCAGAACTACACAGATCTCCCAGCGCTCGCTCATTTGAGTGAGCAGGTAAGAGGTTTTGGGGAGAAAGGGGGTTCTACGGCATTTTTGAGCAGCTTCAGCTCAAAACGCTGCCTGGCGCCAACGCAGGGGAAAGGTCTGAGCTGGGAACCGTGAGGAGCCGAAAGCGAAACCGGCCTCTCCCTGCACTCCGTGCCACCGGAATGAGGAGGAAACCAGCATGACACGACCAGCTCCTGGCCTTGCGGGTCCCAGCTTGAGATCCCCCTGCGCTGGGGCCCTGCATCCTGTTTTGCACGCGATGCTGCTGCGTTTCCCCCGCGCGCAGCTCTGCGGCTCCATGGCCCGCCAAGCCCTCGACTCCGAGGCAAAACCGGAGGAGGCCTTCAGGCACGCCAAAACACACCCTTGCCCGGAGTTACCAAGATTGCACCCAAAATAGCAGCCCTCTGCCCTTCTTTAGCAACGACGCTCGGCCATAGAGCTACCCCAAGCGCTCCTGGAGGGACACGCTCCAGCTCCCGCCAAAGTGCTGGAATTAGGCAAGGCCCGGATAGATTCTTTTTTTTWAATTTTTTTCCCCTGCTGCAAAGGAAATTGCAACTGAGACAAATGCTTTATCTAGAGGACAACAGATTGGTTCTGTGCAAAGCAAAATGCTGGCAGAAAGAAAAAAAAAAAAGAAAGAGGGGTTTTATTGTTGTTTTGCTGGAGGTTAGTAAATCCACGGCAGCAAGCGGCTTCATGCCGGCTATGGAAAAGAAAGGCAGGGATTTGGATCAAATCAAAGCAACCTGTTCTGGGCGCTGCCAGCCCTTCCCAGTCCCATCCCAGCTCCAATCCTGCTGGTGCATTCCGAGCAATTTGAAGCCAAGGGCAGAGCAGGTGCAACAGATATGTGCAATGCAGTATTAAATGTGATATTTCCATTGCAAAAGAGGTTTCTGAGCGATGATTTCACGCAAGCAGCACGGTTTGAGCGGGAGAAGGCAGCGTCAACACGATGCACTCGCTGGGAGCAAACGGGCAAGGCCGGGACGGCCCCAAAGAGGCGCAATGAGCGGAGCGRGACCCGTCCGCCCCGCCGGGGCTGCCCGCAGGGCTGGGCACAGCGCGGACTGGGGGTCTTTTCCCTCCTGCTCGCTCCGAGGAAGCAGGCGGGAAGATGACGGAGGGAGAAGAGCCAAAACAGCCTTTTTATTTTTTTCCTCCGAGGAAACTGGGGGGAAAATAGCAATAAAAGCGCAGGGAAGCGCAGACGTTGCCGGCGGCGCCGGCGGAGCAGGCGAGGCTGGAGCCCCCCCCACCTTGATGCGCAGTGTCTGCCCGGGGCTCACAGGGAGGAGGAGGAGGAAGACAAGGGTGAGAAGGCTCCGCCGCGGCCCGGACCCCGGCACCGCCCGCCCCGCAGCTCCCACCTTCTCGTCGGCGTCCGGCGGCGCCGCCACCCCGGGCCGCAGCCGCAGCTCGCTCATGCCGGCCCCGCTCCGCGCCCGTCGCCGCTCCTGCTGCGCCGTGCCGCGGCCGCCAGGGGGCGGGCGAGGGCAGGGCGCGCTCAGCCAATGGGCGCCGCCACTCGCGCCGGGACGGGGTGTGGCCTCGCCACTCGCCCCGCCCCTCCGGTCCCTTGTGGCCACGCCCAGGTGTACCCGGATGTACGCTCCGCGCCGCCATGAAGGGTGGGCGCCCAGGGCGTATATCCCCTCCACCCGCCTTCCCCTTTCTGTCACAGTGTCGCCAGGCGTTGTGTCGCCAGCGCCGCTAACTAGTTGGAGGGACCCGGGGTGCCTCCGCTGGGCATCGAGGCGCCGCAAGGCCCACTAGGCCGCATCCGCTGCCTGCCGACGGTAGACGCAGCGCGGCGCCTTGTGGGATGTGGGCACGTGTAAGGCGGCGCGCTGATTGGCTCCCACCRGGAGAACGGGTGGGAGTAAGGGGAGGAACGGCGGGACGATTAGTCAAAGCAGCGGGACGGGAAAAGGACCTGCCTGTGAGGCGAGAGGCGATTGGGCCTTACTCTGGGAGAGCGCGCGCAGTGATTGGCACCGCCCCGTCGGGGGCGGGGCCGGTAGAGTATAAAAGCGGCGTTTGGCGCGCGGCGCCTCTTGGCGGCAGCTGGTCCCTGTTGCTGGTGGTTGGTCGACGGTCGCTGTCAGGATGTTCGAGGCGCGGCTGGTGCAGGGCTCGGTGCTGAAGCGGGTGCTGGAGGCCCTCAAGGATCTCATCACCGAGGCCTGCTGGGACCTGGGCTCGGGCGGCATCAGCCTGCAGAGCATGGACTCCTCGCACGTCTCCCTGGTGCAGCTCACGCTGCGCTCCGAGGGCTTCGACACCTACCGCTGCGACCGCAACATCGCCATGGGCGTCAACCTCGCCAGGTGCCCGCCGAGGGGCCCGACCCGACGGCAGCGGCCGCTGGGGCTGCTCTGGGGCTGCAGAGACCCGCGGGGTGGCGGGGGAGGCCGGAGAGGAGCGACCGTTGGGGCCGGGTGAAGAGACCGGCTCTGAGGGGAGCGACCGTTGAGGGGGAGGCCGTGAGGGGAGTGACCGTTAGTGTTTTGGCGGGGGGGAGGGGGTCTTGGCGCGGAGGGCAGCGGCCGCTGCGGCCCCTCCGGAGGAGCTCGACGTTGGTGGGGAGTGGGGGGTTGTGCGGAGGTTCCTCGCGCCCGGGAGCCGTCGGGGTCCCGGGAAGAGGGGCGCCGCCCCTCCCCCACAGCGCTCTGGCGCCGTTTTTGGGAGCGCGCGCGGGAGGCGCCCGCGTGACGTCACTGCCGGCGCGCCGTGGCGGGAAAGCCGCGCGGGGGGATGCGGGGGGGCCGCGATGCCGGCGCTGCGGGGAGGGGTTTCGCGCCCGTTCCGGGGCGCAGAGCAGCCGCCACCGCGGGAACGGGGGACCCTTTCCCTTGGGACCTGTTTTGGGACGTCCTTGCATGGGCACCCCCCGACTGGCCCGGCTTTTGTTCCCTCAGCATGTCCAAAATCCTGAAGTGTGCGGGAAACGAGGACATCATCACTCTGAGAGCAGAGGACAACGCGGATACGCTGGCCTTGGTGTTCGAAGCACCGAGTAAGTGCGAGGTCTGGAGACYAGCACCTTGCTGAGACCTTCCACGGGGCCTTCCTAGGCGCAGCAGGAGCGCTCTGGGTCTTGGGGCCAAGATAAACTTAGTCTGATTGACCAACGTCTCCATGATAGGGAAAAAGGAAAAGCCTTTCCCTGACACTGGCAGTTCCTGTTGTCTTAACTGAGGTGTTTCTGTGCCGAAAAAGTTTTGAGCAAAACTTCAATTCAGGATAGTGACTTTAATAGCTTTTTTAAAAAGCACTTTGTCACCCTAAAGTTTGTTTCTTTTAGATCAAGAGAAAGTTTCTGATTATGAGATGAAGCTGATGGATCTGGATGTGGAGCAGCTTGGAATTCCAGTAAGTAGCGACTTGAATTTCTCCCTGGGTTACGTTATTTTTCTTACAAGCAAAATATTCCCTGTGTTCACATCAGGCCCAAAGCTTGAGTTCATAAAGAGAATAAAGAGAACATGCTTTAAAGGAAAGCAGAGTCTAGCGGCTGCCTCTGGCTTCCTGGGAAAGTTTAACTGCCCCTTGCTTGCAGGAGCAGGAATACAGCTGCGTGGTGAAGATGCCTTCTGCCGAGTTTGCTCGCATCTGCCGGGACCTCAGCCACATCGGCGATGCCGTTGTCATCTCCTGCGCCAAAGACGGTGTGAAGTTCTCAGCTAAYGGGGAGCTTGGAAACGGAAACATCAAGTTGTCCCAGACCAGTAACGTGGATAAAGAGGAAGAAGCTGTAAGTTGTTGGCCCCTGTTCTTGCTTAGGTTTCTCCTAGTGATTTATTCCATGAGGATACGGCTTGGATTTGTTGGACCCTAACCTGCCGTATGTTTTTCTAGGTAACAATAGAGATGAATGAGCCTGTCCAATTAACTTTTGCTTTGAGGTACTTGAACTTCTTTACCAAAGCGACTCCACTGTCACCTACAGTAACACTCAGTATGTCTGCAGATGTTCCCCTTGGTGAGTAAACAGCCCTGCTCCCACCTTAAAGCATCTAATGATGGAATGGCTTTTTTTCTGAATAATATTCTCAATATTTTTTTCAGTTGTGGAGTACAAGATTGCTGATATGGGACACTTAAAATACTATCTGGCTCCAAAGATTGAAGATGCGCAAGAAGGTTCTTAAATGGACTAGGACCGAGGCAATCTTGGCTCTTTGGAGAAGACAACTGACTTGGAGAAGGAAGTTGTGTCCATGCAGTTTATTAGCAGTTTCAGTGCATGGTGTCATCAAATGAGCACTGCTAGGCTTGTTTTGTAGATATCTCTGTAAATATTTTTCAGCTTACTATTTTGCTATACTGGTGTGACTTGAAATAGGAATTTTTGCTGTTGCAGTCTATTCCTGTACCTGCAGTAGCCTTATATGCTGTCTTTAGGTGGAATCCTGTACTCCTTTGAATTAGTAAAGGAGTGCAATATTTAAGCTGGGTAAGGATGACCTTTTTTAGTGTCACCTGTGAACTACACTTCACACAGGTTTGTTTAATGATGCCAGGAGTTTGTTCTACCTTTCTTTATATATTTGTTTTCAAAGTGGAATTTTGAAATGTGGAAAATGGAAAGAAAGAACATGATTGGAAGTTTTTTTTTACCCTGCTCAGGTATGGGTCAAATAAAGTTTTGGGTGTGGAGGGGTTTTTGTTTGTTTTGTTTTTGTGTGTGTCAAACTGATGGTACCCTTGCTCTGCTTCTAAAAACTGTCTTGAATGGGAGGATTTGCTTTAACTGCTCTGGAGTCCCCGAATTCTGCTGGTGATTGTAAGTGGCAGACACAGGGATGGCTCCCAGACTTACGGAATATAAAGCTGAGCTGTGGTGATCAAAAGCTGTTTGCCCTGACAGGGAGGTTTGTCTAAATCCTTGGTTTATAGTTTATTTAGGGCAAGTCCCTGCATGTTTTATTTGTTTGGTGCCTCCTGTTGATGTCTGCAGGGCAGCCACTGAAAGGGGCACATCCTGATGGAGGGCATTGGAAATCATGGTCCAGGCTGTTGCTAGTGAAACAGACAAATGGACGGGTTAGAAAAAGAAAACTTGAGCCTAAAACCGGATGTAAAAGCCACTTAATTGCATGTTGCAGCTATTGGGGGTTTAGCAGAAAAGTGGCACAAGGTGGCACTGTTAGACTGACATAAGGTAAAAATCATGTGGCTGCCATCATGACTAGCCCCTGCCCAAAGCCTTGGCCTGGCTTTCTTCATGTCTCTTGCCCCTTAGTTTAGTAGCAATTAACTGTTTAGAAAATTTAATTTTACTTTTCTTGGAAAAAAGAGTAAAAAGTAGTTGAACTTGCAACTTCTGATGTGAGCTTCAATTGTCTGTGGCTCATGGGGGTACTGGCTTTGTGTTCTTGACCTTTAGTAAGTTGGTGAGGAATTTGGTATCTAGAAAACTGTGTTGAGAAAGCAAGACCTGACTTGACTGCCCTACGTTATTGTATAATAAGTTGTTCTTAAGACAAAAATGTGACTTTATCATAGTGCACTATTTATTGAGGAAAATGATTCCTTTTCCTCTAAGGGTGTGTCAGTGCTGTAAGTAAAACTGGGCTAGTACCTGAAACTTAACTCCTTTTTGGTGTGATCTGCCAATTTAGGAGTTTCTGGGCTTCTACTGTCCTACCCATAAAAAACCAAATGGTTGAATTGCTAATTCCTTAAAACTGCAGCACCCCCTTTTGAGAGCTTCGTAAGAAATATATCCATAAATATATTTCAATAGGAAATCCAATAGGAATATTATTCATAAATTCAATAGTAAATACATCTATGTGCTAAGTGTCTAGGTGCTTGTGTTTAAGAGAAATCCACTTAACTGCTTTTTGGCTAACTGCATGCTCAGTTAACTGAAAAAAAGTGGTATGTATTTTTGTCCTCTTTGAGAGGGTATGTGAGGTTGATAACCTTAGTTATTATTAAGAAAAGCATAGGAAAAGAGGGGAAATGATTTACCCATTTACCCATTTAAGATGTGGTCTGGTGGTAGCTGGGGTCGCTGCCGGGTTTGGAGTAGCCATCTGGAGCTGGGGCGCAGCCAGGGCCGCGCTGGGTGGGCGGATGGGCCGGCTGCACCCCAGGCCCTGTGCGGATGGGCTGGCTGCCTCCTACCGAGGCCACAATCACGTGTGGGGACGAGCAGTGTGGGTTGGAAGGCGCTGCCGCACGCGGAGCTGCCGTGCGCCCTGCCCTAACCTGGAAGGAAACGTGACATTGGGAATAAACTTCCTGGGTTGGCCGGCGCCGCCAGAGCAACCAGGAAGCGATGGGCTTGGCCGGGCGCGCGCGGAGCCGGTAACAACCCCGGTGCTTCCCCAGCGCCCCCCGGACCTCGGTGCTGCCAGGGGGCACGTGGGGCCCCTAGAGCGTTCCCTGCCCCAGGAGCCCCTTGGGGCCGACGGGAAGGGCGTCCCGGGCATTTTGTGGGCTTGGGAGCCGTGTTTGGGCTCCCGGAAGGGCGTGAGGTGCCCTGGGGCTGCTGGGCAGAGAGGGGCATGCTCTTAAAATGCTGCTTTTGGGGGGAAAAACAGGGCTTGTTGTGTTTGCAATTGCGCTTCCGTGCTTGCCACAGCAGCTGCGCTCCCTTCTGGAGGGTGCAGGGCAGGAAGGTGCTTTTAGGCTGGTATAAACTGGGAACGATTCCCAGGACGCCCGGGCAGCCCTGGCTTTAACTACTGGGAATTAAAACCCTGGCTCTCACTTCTTGAGGGAGAGAAAGGCAAAGGCCACGTTTGGTGTGGAGGCTGTTGGGGCATCTTTGCACAGTTCCAATCTGTAGGGGGAGGAACCAGCTCGCACGGAGGGTTACGGCAGGAGAAGGCGACAGAGCATTTTGGGGAACGTAAAGCTCTTACCCTGGCTGCCAGATAACGCTGCGGAGAGGGCAGGCGCTCCTGGTGGGGCCGTTGGGGATTTGCACTGCTGCAGTTTGGCATTTTCAGCATTCAAAATATCCTACTGGTTGAAAGGCTGCTTTGTGTCATTCTGGTCAGGGTTTATTTGTTAGTCTCCCTATTTAGATGCAGCTGGAGACCTTGAGCACCTCCCTGCTGGAACTGTGGTCTTCTTGCAAAATGTTTTTTGGGCTGCTCTTGCTTTGAGCTTGCTGGAGAAGGGAAGTTTTAGGACATCAGGTTCCTATTCAGATTGTAGGTCTATGGTGCCTGGCTCTTGGAATGGCCCATTTGTATCTGGTTTTACCTAGGAACTTCTAGCATGTTTTAAATGCACATCCTACCTCAATCTGATTTTCTTTCAGATATTGCCAAGCCCTGTCCATTCCCTTGCAGCTGCAGCTTTGTATTTTAGGCTTCTACGTACAAAGCTTTGTTGGAAAAGATTTAGCCATTGAAAAGATGATTCCTTTGCTTAGCACAGGCTGTGTCTGTTTCCATGAGCTGGATCCATGTGTCTTGGCTCTTGTCTTGTTTGCTCTGATCTTGTTGCTCTTCCTCTTCTTTCCAGGTTCTAGCTGATGTCCTGGCTTCCTTGTTATGATGCCGTCACGCACCAACCTCACTGCTGGGATTCCCAGCAGCAAAGTCAAGTATTCCAAGCTCTCCAGCACCGACGATGGATATATTGACCTGCAGGTAAGAAGGGGGAGGACGGGGACACCGCGTGGATGCATCTCCTCTGGTGCAGCCTCCCTTTGGAAAGGCCCAAGCCCGGCTCCACCCCAGGGCTTCAGCCCTTCTCCTAGAGCCCAGCTACAGAAAAACAAAAGTGCCCCAAGCCTCCCTGGCAAAGGGACCCTGCTCGTGCAGCAGGATCAGCCCTCTTGTCTGTGGAGGGAGGAAAAAAACCTGAGAATTTAGCTGCCGGTGGCTCCCCGGGCTGGGGGGCTGTGGACAGAGCCTGCAGCGGTTTGTCCGTCCCCTGCTAGTTGCGGCATTCCCATCTGTGTTACCAGGAGCCAGGGGAAACTGCTGTTTCTTTCCTATTTGTCTCCCGTACAGTTCAAGAAGACCCCACCAAAAATCCCCTATAAGGCAATTGCGCTGGCCATCGTGCTCTTCATGATTGGGACCTTCCTCATCATCATAGGAGCCCTCCTCTTGGCTGGCTACATTAGCAAAGGGGTGAGTGTTCTGCGTGCGCTTCCCTCAGCAGCTTCACATCGTTTTCCCCTCTGCAAAGGGTGCGAGGTGCCTCATGCTGCAGGTGGGAGCTGAGCTGTGCGAGGAAGCGCTGACTCTGTCCTGCCTGCGATGCAACGAGCAGCTTCACCCTGCTGCTCCTTGCTCTCCTAGGAAAGGGCTTTCCATAGGAGACGTGATGGCCAGAGGGCTCAGCACCATTTTCCTCATCTTTCCGCACTTGCATTCAAATCCTCGGGCAAGGACACGGCTCTGTGTTCCCCTCTGCATGATGGGGGCTCTGGGGAGCCGCACTGGTGGCAGCCACTTATCAGTTGCCAGGAGCCCATCTGAGACGCTATGCGTGCGCGGGAGCCGCCTGTGTACCCGGAGGGAAGGGTTGTTGGATCTTTCCTGGAGCAGGGAGCAGAGCCAGGCTGGGAAGATGCTGCTTGAGCCTGCAGGAACTGACCATTCTGATTCGGGTCTAAGTTTCTGTGAGATCCTTGCACCTTAGGGACAAAGGGATGATTTGCTGCACTGAGCCCCAGATGGACAAGGAAGGACCCAGCACAGGTCTCTGCGCTAACACGTTTCTCCCATCACATCCCTCTGCTCCAGGGAACAGACCGTGCAATCCCTGTGCTCATCATCGGCATCCTCGTCTTCCTCCCTGGCTTCTACCACCTGCGCATCGCGTACTACGCTTCCAAGGGCTACCGGGGCTATTCCTACGACGACATCCCGGATTTCGATGACTGAGCTGCATTCCAGATCGCGCTGATTAGGTCGGCAATAGGAGCTGTTAGTCACCCCGAGCACCAAAGGGAAGCGCCTGAGGCTGTAAATGAAGTAGATAGACCCCTAGATCTGCTCCCTGGTTTTGTAAATACTGTCTTGAGGTGTTGCCAGATTCTCGTTTTGGGGAGGAGTTTGAAACATGGGATTGACCAACGGCATTGTGACGTTATGTGGGGAGAACACAAGGCTTATTTTTCCCCTTTGGGTTATGTCATGCTGGTTGTTTGCAAAAAGTTCTTCTTGGGCAAGGTAATTCCAGCCTTTTTCCAAAAATCGATGAGCCAGACAGTTTCAGCAACAGAAATATTTGTTTTTCTAACTATTTTCTAGAGTTTCTCATACTTTTCAAAGAGGTGGTGGCTCTTCTTGGGTTTACTCTCGCAAACAAGCAGCATAACGATTCTTTTTTTCTCTCTGGCCATCAGAAACATTTCAGTGTACTCCTTGTCTTGTGTTTGCAACTGGAATAATGGAAGACAAATGCACACAAGAGGGAAAACTGCACATGCATGAAATAATTCACAGGGCATTTGCTACACGACTCCTCTTGTTAGAATTTGTTAGAATTTAGTCAGCCAACACATTCCTCGAGCAAGCAGCTTTCCCTGCCACTTTGGTTTTGGCAAAACCCATTTGTCATCCACTAAAAGGACCGTTGGGTTTTTCAGTATTATTTTAAACTGAATAGACAGGGAGGGGGCAGAATTGGAATTCAGAATCAGGGTTCAAGTGTCTGAATACCAAAGTCTTGTTTTGGACAAGTGAGGATATTGGAGACCCATGACTTGCAGCTGCCTGTATGTATATTTGGGATCATTCTTTCTCCTCTAAACAATATGCTGGGCATAATTCCCTAGAAAAATCTGTGTATAATTTGTACTGAATGAATCCAGTTTGTATTGTTTTGCTGGCTTCAATAATATGATGTTCTGGGCAAACAGACTGATAGCCCTGTGCTCAATGCAGAAGTCAGGCGTCCCCTGAAGTGGGAATGATCTCCATCCCAGAGGACAAGTGCCCACRAACAGCAACACAGAACTCTTTCATACATGTTTAAGACGAGTAAACTTCGCTCTGTTCTGCGAGTGCCTTGGGAAGCCCTAAAGCACCAGGAGCTGCTGCTGCCACGGGGCAGGTGCCGCTCTGTCCCCTTCCTTTTTGCCCTACGTGTGTTTATTCCTTGGTGCCCTGGGTACGGGCTGACGTCCGGGCTGTGCCCGAGGCGCCACTGGCCGCGTCACCCCGCGGCCCTGGCGCTGTCGCATGCGCTTGGCAGCACCAGGAGCCCAGCAATTAAAGCCTGGCCTGGCCAGCAGAGCTGACGCAAATCCATGAATCAGGGCTGAAACACAGGCTCGGCCCCTGGGGGAATCGGAGGCAGAAGGGAGAGGGAGAGGGAAAAGACGCTTTGAGGTGAAAAAGGGAGGAATGTGAGATGAGGACAGCAGGGCAGCCTGCGGTGATGGTGACGCCCTTTTGCTGCTGGAGGGACAGAATCGATGGTTGTTTAAATCAACAATCAAAGTCCTGGGGCAGCAGCACGCTATAAATGCAGCCGTAAAGCAAATACTTGGAAGCAGCAGCGCAATCCACGATGCATCCCTCTTTCTGTCCCTTTTCCGTCCTTTTCCTCCCACCGCAAGGAGGTGGCTGYGTTGAGTCAGAGCCCGCCTGTCCAAAAGGTGGATGTGTCCATGCCTGGGGCTTCTCTTCCTTCTCCTTCCTGAGCACGGAAGCACCTGGAGAGTTTGAGGAATGCTGAATTTAGCTAAAAATAGCCCAGATAGTTCAACGGGCCACAGCAGATTCCTCCCTCCCCGGAGAATTGTTTTCTTCTGACATAGGGCCAGGGGTCAAAACAAATATTTATTTATTTATTTATTTATTTATTTACGTCTTGTGAGAGGGAAGCTTAATTGTAAATAGGGAAAGATTGCTTCCAAATAGTTGCATTGATCTTTCACTGCTGTGGCCCGGCTGTTTTGCTTCTCCAGGCTCAGGTTTTGGTAGGTGCTGGTTGGACACACGTTACCCTCGGGCCTTCTCCCTTTGTTTTCATCCATGGCTTGAAGGTGCCAAGAGATTTCTTGCAAGGCAGATATTAGGAGGTCTTTTTGGTGGCTTGTGTGGCCAGGGCTGATTCAGGGCAAGAATCAGGAAGCATATGTTTCCTTCTTCTCCTGGCTGGGAATTGGGGTGTTCTAAAAACACACAAACAGTTCCACAGACCTGCAAGATTCCTCTGTAGTTTTTACAGTCCTGCTGCAGTTACAGTAAGGAACAAAACCGCAGTGAATCTTCCCCGAGAGGGCTTGTTGTGCTCCTGCAAAAGAGCAGTTTTGGCATAGAAAGCACCAATTCTGGGGAAAGCTGGGGAATCACCATTTTAGACTGAGCTGGCAAAATGAAGGAAAAAAAAAACCCTCCCCAAGTCACCACTAATTTATTTTATTTTGAGATATTTACTTGAATTGAAGTAGTAGCTGCTCTTAAGCCTTTAAAGGATTAGCTGCCTGCTAGTCCGTAGCTCCTGCAACCATTTATTTAAGCGGGTGCTGCAAATCATGCCGTTAACCTGTCATGCAAGGGTTAACCCTCCTTTCCTTGCAGTGAGCGATGTACGACGCGTATGACCCTGCTGATGTGACAGCGGGCAGTGAACACAGCTACAGTCACTCCAGATTCCTCTGAGCTTTCCAGCTTAAACTGCCGTCCTCTCTGGGTAGGATGTCGTGTTTCCGTTGTCCCCGTTTCGCTGTATCATGTCACACGTTTAATGCAAGGGGTTGAGGTGAAACAACAACCCCCAGCAGCGACGAGTTCACATGTACCGGAGCTGAAAGGCCCCTTGAGCGAAGGGAAACCCGTGTGGATTCAGGGAGGCTTCCTGCAGGACCCTGCATGTGTGCGTCATACATTTAGTGCCAAAGGGGCAGAGCGCAGATCCTTAGCTACGAATACTAATTGGCACCACTGGATGATTTTCTATGAATTTTTATTAACATGTCGTTAGAAAAAGGCCACCAGCTCGCACATTGCTCATGTTTTTTGTCTTTCCTAATAGCAAATGCAGCAGCATAGGCTGTTCAGCACTATTTTGGGTTCTTTTTTGGGCCAAGCCTGTCTTTCTGTGTATCTGGGGTTTATTCTACAATAATCCTTCTGCTACCGTTTCTGTTATCAGACATTCACAGGACGAGTTAAGTGAGTCATGGGGAGACGGGATAAAATCAGTGACCAGATCCCAGAGCATCCTTCCCGTCTGAGCAGACTATGGATGTTCTTTCAAAACTGCCTGTGAGGAAGTTCCAGGAATGAGAGGTTGGACAGGGCTCCTCTCTCTGCCTGAGATTTATGAAGGAGGCCTCATGCCGAGCTGCTGTCTGCGCTGTGCAAAGTGAGGGACCTTCTTGTGATCTCCCAGGGGAAGCAGCTTAACAAAACCTGCTTCATTCTGGTCTGAAAAAAGCCCTTTAATGGGATGGTGCATGGCTCTTGCAACACGCTTGCTCCAAGGATTAATACTTACAAAACTAGGGATGGGAATGGGCTCGGGGAGGTGAATAAGCACATCTTCCTCTGCCTCATCCTGACTCAGCGAGCTCAGTGTCAGCTATTCAGTACAGCCCTGGAGGTACCATACACAACAGCATCAAGAAAATACAGCTATTCTTCCAGAGGACAAGTTGTCCGGTTGTATTAGCGTTGCTGTAGGTGACCTTGGATACTGTTATGGCCACATGCGTTGACAGTGTTTGCGTAGGGGTGGTGGCCCATGTGCCCCAAGCAGCCTCATAGTGAGAAGTGCAGGGAGCTGCTCAGAGTTATTTGTATCCCGATGGCCTCCAAAATCTGCTGTTTGCAAAATATTTTGCATGTTCAGAAATGAAGGGAGGTCTCTCTCATCCCAGCAGCTACCAAGGGTAAAACCATCTTGATGCCAACAGCAGGGATCCAGCAGTTCTGCATAGCTGCAGAATTGCTCTCCTGTTCCACTATTGATTGCTCATCTGAATTTGGGCAGCTGTAACTTTGCAACCTCTGCTATTTATCTTCCTACATCGCAAGCGCAGCAATAAATCTCCCTCTTGGAGAGAGAGGCTGTCTGAGGCCTCCATAATTTGAGTACTTGGATCAGAGCGGTCCAAATTGGACATCCTTGGGCCAAAAGTCCTATTTGCTGTGAAGAGCACTTTGTGCTAATTAAACCTCATAAAACTCCTCCAGAGTCTAATCACCTCCATTCTCCAGATGACAAAACCAAGGGTTTGGCTCTGATGATGGGCTAGGAAGTACGTCATTCAGTGTGGGAAAAATAGCTCTTACAAAGAAATACCTTTTTTTGGTTTTTTTTTTGGTGAGATATAATTTCATTATGGAGAGGGGGAGAGGAGCAATCAAATCACGACTCTTCCCAAGATAAACCAGATATATGTAGGTTGAGGAACCCGGGTTGGGTTTCCACTAGGTGGTGATAGAAAGCATTTTTCAAGAGTATGTTCACGCTCCCTTTCTTGATGCCATGGCACAGAAACCCCATTTCAGATTTTTATTCCACATATGCTACCACTTATTTTAGCGGAAGGTGCAAAAACGTCAGCGCTGGTGAGTTGTGACCCACCTTTCCTCAAGGAGCTTTCTCCTCCCAGCCACCACAGTCCCTTATCCTTGGGAGATAAAACGATGTGGGGAATGTGTTAAAGGTTTGCAAAAGCCCAATGCCGCCCTTGTGGGATACAGGGAAGGATGCTCAGCCCAGAGCGAGGCCTGGATGCTCCCACACTAACGTCTCCCTGCGGAGCTTTAAGGTTTCACCTGGCTCCAAAATCAACCCAGACTTGTGCACCAATATTCCAAGGATAGATTGTGTGCATCCTGGGATAATTTCTGCTGTGATTATATGACTATAATATTTATCTGGCATTATGGAAGCGAGTGTAATGAGCGATTAACACTACGAACAGAGAGAGGCACCAGGAATGTGACAGTTTATAAGTTGTAGAAGTTTGGGGCTAGCCAGGAGCACTTGTAGGAGGCCCGAGGTCACCTGGAAGGGCATTAAATAAATTAAATACATTGTTAAATAAATTATTCACTGAAATATTCTGTGAAGAGTGACAAAGTCCCAAATGACCCCTGCTGTGC